TTTACATTATATAGCCTGTTTTATTACAGTAGTGTTTGGCTTAGGATTTTGGGTGCCTGTTAATGGTTTGYGAATGCTAGCAATTGCAAAATATTTAAGTCTGAGAAGAGGTATATATGGCACGATATCCATTAGATAAAATTCTTAAGCGATTTGCTTTGATTCGACCTTCAGCTTTTGCTGCTGGTGTGTTATCTTTTAGATCCCATTTTGGTCTGCGAATGGAAGATCATAGATCACAATGTAACAGCTGTAATTTCCTCTGCCTGCAAGTCACCAGCAGCTGGATTTATTTTAACTATCGAAAGATTCTTGTGTGGGGCTAATTCTTCAGTGAAACCCACTGTACAACCGCTTGACTTCTGCTTTATCTGTGAACTAGACTGTAAAAATGAAATGACAATTTTACTACTCTGGACAAAGTATAGCACGAGTTGAAAAGGAAATAACTAATGATATTTTGCTTGCCCTGGGAAAGAGATAAGTCTGTAATCCTGCAGTCATCAGAGACCCTTGTAGCTTTATTATCTTTAATAAATGTTAATTTAATGTAATGTTTGTACTATGTAAGGCACTTGTTTGAAATGTGTGTAATATTAGCTTAGGAAAACACATTTGGTCAAGCAAATGAGAAAACATCTTTTTCTGGACATTATTGTATGTGTAGCGTGCTGTTATACTTCCCAAGGAAAAGGACTGCCATTCAGGCTCTGTGTTAATTGTGGTTAATGGGAAGACTTCATTCACTAACTGCAAACCAAGTTAGAGAYGAGACACTTAATATTCATACAATTCCAACCACTTTCCCCAAACTGGTATCTCTTTTTTGTCCTGGGTATTCCGCATTACGTGGATGTCTGTGTCCAGAACTGTCCGTTCTGGGAAGTGGAAGCTTTTCCCCCCATCCCGTCTGATGCTCTCTAGATCTGGGACAAGTGGACAATGATGTTTATGGTGGCAGAGAGGGCMTTGTTAGGCAGAGGACACAACTACGGCTCTGGTTTCTCAGGACCATTCCAGTTTTGCTTGGAGATTCCCATGTTAAATGCCCACACACTTCGGAAAACCCAGGCTGGGATCTTCTAACACCTCATGTCCCCTGGCAAGGCAGAGGTGCCTGGGAGCCTGCAAGAGCACAGGGAAGATAACATCAAAATGCAGTTAATGTTAGTTCAGCTAAAGGAAATAGGTTGTCATGAGTGAGCTACCTTAAGGATATTTAGTGCAGGAAGCCTCTTCCTCAGAATTCAGGCCTTTTTTCTTGTCAAGTTCAGTCAACACCAAATACTCCAGCATTTCCTCTGCTGCAGTTCCTCTTCCCTACTCTTTCACCTTTTTAGATGATAGAGCTTCAACAAAACAGCCATAATATTTGAAATATGACTCTCCTTTGTGTGTTGTGTTCTTTTACTCCTTTGCTTTCTACTCCCAGCATTTACAAGCAACTCCGTAGTCTGGTTACTGATTTTTCAGTGAAAAAGAGCAGCTACTTTAAAAGCTGTTGTTGTCCTGAAGAGCATCTGAGAAAGAAACTGCACAGAGCCTGGCTCAAATACCATAAATTTGCAGCAAACATGTGAGTCAACCCAGCCTGTAGCCAAGCAGCTCGTGAGTCTTTCTCACCACTCTCTGTGACCCTGCAGGTCTAAGGTTCACGGGATGAGGAGTTTTCCTGGAAAGGAGGTTTGACGTTGCCACCTTTCTCCCCAAGGCTCAATCAGCACAATGCAGAGSCGGCGCTGCTCGAGGCCTCCAGCCTAGCAGCTCGTGACATTTAAGATACAAAGATTAAGCTGTCACTCTTAACTGAATTTAAGTCTTAATGGGAGTGTTTCCTGAGTGTGCATTCTGCTGATGGGTGAGTTGATATCCTCACCCTGCTGGGGCTCTGAAGCTGCGATAAATCATTATTTGGGAGGCTTACAGATTTCTGAAAGTATCTCTGTGGTTCCAGTGGACAGACCATCCAAAATACATCTGCATGCAAACAAGGTTCAAGAATGGCATTTGTAGACATTTCTTAGTTGCTTTGTTTTTGCCAGGATTATTCGGGTATTCCTYTAATTTTCTGCTTCTCTTTACAGTTCTTCAACCTTCTCCAGTCTTTGTTCAATAGGCAAGTKCTGTAGAAATCAGGAACACCCTGCTAAGCATAATGTTTTCTATATCCTGTGGCTTGTATTCTGCATCCTTCTATCACATCCAAGAAATATTAAGCTTTGCATTAATTCCTGATTTGTCTAATGTTCTCAAACTAAGGAATTGTTCTTTATCAGAATATATGAAGATTAAAACTCTAATTTTTGAATGTATTTGTCAACCCTCTAAAGTATATATTTTTAGCAACTTTTTCCTTTTAAGTAATAATCATCTTGATACAATCAGAATGTTTTTATTCTCAAAWCCTGCACTAACAGTTTCTGAAATTGTGCCAAACTGTATCATGGAGAGCCATAATCTGTGTGAAGCTGAGAGAGGGTCATTTGGGGCAGCAGTGGAAATCCTTCCACAGACGTAGTCAAGTTCATAACCTCCACTTGGGCATCGACATCTTTCCCTCCTTCTCTTTTTTTATCAGTTGATTTAATTGGAACTATTTCAGACCTGACTTTTAGAGGTACTAAGCTCAATGGTCAAGTCAGTGAGTAGGAGCTGCGGGTGACCAGTGACCAAAACTCATGCTTTATTTAAGTGCACGCTCTGTGTGTGTCCAAGTGACTTGTGGCTTTTGCTGCAGGGCTCTAGCAAAGGTTGGTGATTTGTTGTCAAGAGCAATGGTTGGTACCTTAAGCTTCTACTAGGCAACCTCCTGCATTTTACTTTTCTTTGAATATTTTTTTCCCAAGAACTGTATCCTTCCTAGTGTGCATTTCATTTAGTAAGAACAGATCCTAGTTTGTTTTCTCAGGCCCRAAGATGCCTGTTATATCTTAAAAACCTAATCTATTAACGGAGTTGTTAGTCCTGCTTGGTTGTTAGCTGGCTAGAGTCAACTCACATCAATACACTCAGTATTGTTGTTACGTGATAAAACTTCTTTAAAATGCTGATAACAGTAGAAATGCTTCTTCAGTATCAGTAGTTTCCCATGGGGTTTATCATGAATGTTCAAAACAAATGGGGCTTATCCAGATTACGTTAAGTGGAAAAAAGACTATTTCTGAGTTAAATGTGCTTTCGGCTGATCTCAGAAGTAAAGGAGGAAAGCTGTCTATGTGTAAGCTAAGGAAGGTGGGTATCCCATGTTTATGCCATGAACTGCTTAAAATCTTGAGTGTGCATCATGAACACACTGTTGCATTATGTTTTTAGTGTATTTGCTAAGATTGATTCAACTGTACTAGTTAAGAAAACTAGTTTTAAAAGACATTATTTTAGCATGTGAGATGCCTTCTTCTTCAGAGTAAGCACAGATAAAACAAGAACGGTCCTTTACATGCCATATGTTYTTTTAGTGTGATAGTGTGAAACCCCAGTGCAATACTGAATTGTTGCCTTTTTGACTAGATGATGCAGATATTCAAGCTGATAACATTGAATTGTTTCTGAATCTGAGCTTTAGACATGGCTTTACACGTATTAATCCATAATACTGGTAAATGCTGTTAGCTCTGATACATTGGCTATTTTTAAAGCAACTGCAAGTGGAAAGCAGACTTCAAGGAATAGAACTCAAGGTTCCTTGCTCCCAGGTTAGAAAATATAGTCCAAAGGTTCCAGTTTGGACCATGTGTGTGCGTGCCCCATCTGCTGTAATTTGGCCACATGCGGTTTTTCTATTGAGCCTCCTGTTCATCCAGTGTACCCTGTTGAGAGATTTTTTTTTTTCTAAGCTGGTCGGTATTTTGGGCTGCCTCGTGGACCGTTTGTAGGTGCCTGTCTGGGGAAGTGCCTGCAAAGCAGAAGTGAAATGTGTTCTAGAGCAGAGACCCCAAATCTCCTTTTTCCCAAGTGATCCACGATCAGCCTCAGGTGAAAAATCACGTGTCACTGCCAGCCGATTGGGCAGATGTCTCGTGTTGGCCAGTGCGAAGCTGCTGGCGGCAGCTTCATGGGGCACCGTGCTGGGCATTAGCTTTGAGGGATGTGGTATTGAGTGGTGGTGTCTGACTGTGCCAGCCCATGTCCCTGCTGCGGGCTGGCAACAGCCGGCGTCGTGTCCCCCTGAGAATGGGGTACCCCATACCGGGGTATCCGATAGCTGTGCATCCAACAGAGACATGCCAGCACGCGGTTCTCCAGCCTGGGTGAAGGCAGGATCCGTCATTCTCATGATTCTTGATTCCCATTCTGTAATCCTGAGCCTGCTGGTGGGTGCACGCGCAGGGGAGCAGCCCGGCGGGTGCCAGAGCCGCAGCAGAGCAGGGGCAGGACCTTCCTCCCTCTCCATGGAGGGGAAAAGCCCCAGGAAAACCACAGCAGAACAACAGTGAGGGAAAGCGCCCGCCGAGAACACTGGGCTCTTTGTAAGGCTTTCTCTTTGGGGACAGCTATTGCTGGCAATAAGATTAAATCGCTGCAACCTTCCCTGCAGCTACATCTGCCACTACATTTTCCAGGCTYGGTAATGAGCGAGCGGCTGCCGTTGTTTCTCTCTTCTGGATTTCATTTCTTGCAGCTTTAACCAGTGCTGTTCACCACGAGGCATGCAGTCCGCGCCGAGCACAGAGGCCTCTGCCAAGTCCCTACAAATATTCATAGCTCCAGAGAAGCTGGTTGTAAATAATGCCATAAAAAGTAGATGATATTAATGTAATAGTTCACACTGAGTTCACATGTTGCTGATGCCAATCTATAAAAACAATGGAAGAAGTTCTTGACAAGGCTACCCCGAAGTGGCAGACACAAACAAAAGCATCTGCCCTTCTCCTCCACTGCGGGTGTTTTGGCTGTGGCACTCACGTTCTTAGTGCAGATGGTTAGAAAAATGGATGTCGGTTTTCTCCATGCTGCTGTGCGATTCCGGACGTCTTCCTCACGGGGCTGCCATGTTCCCGCAGGACGCCATCGTCATCCACGAGGTCTACGAGGAAGGGGCGGCCGCCAGGGACGGCAGGCTCTGGGCCGGGGACCAGATTCTTGAGGTAAGTGGATTATGGAGCATCTCGGTACGTATACGTTGGCTTATGTGCTTGATGTTGCTCACAGATGCTCCTGTTCAACACCAGATAGGTTTCTCACGAGGAAAATGGGGATCATTTAAAAGGGTCTGTACTTCAAGCTGCTTTTCTGCCRCTAAGAGCATCCCAGCAAACGGACATTTCCTTTTTTATTCACGTAAGCTGAAGGCACAAATGCAGACTCTATTAAATTCACTCGGCCGAGTGGATGAGGAGGCCTCTGTTGGTCTCTTGTGTCCAACCGCTCCATACTGCCCATCCATCCAGACCGAGCGGCCGGCCGTGCAGCGGGAGCTTCCGCGTCCTTGTGCGTGGAAAGCGAGCGTGGAGCGAGCGCCRCCGCCGCTCAGCCCTGATGGAGCTGCTGGGGCCAACCCCTGAGCTGCCTTTAGCAAGGCCACGCTCCAGCTTTTCTTCCCGTGGCTCCGCGGAGAGGCAGGGGTTAAGAGGGAGCYGCTGCTGCGGATCCGGATCGTGGCCGCAGGGGCTCTCGCGCAGCTGTTTGCAGAGCCTCGCCGTCGGAGCAGGACAAATTCCCAGCATGGCCATTAAGGCTTTCGTGTATAGGGTTAGAAAAATAGCAAGGGGCACTCAGGGACTTGTCTTTACAGCTCTTGCACAGAAAATATTTTTTTTTTTAGTGTTAGGGCTGTGTGTTATTTTCATTTTATAAATAACTGTGTATTAACAGGGCATGATAATTAGCCAGGTGATAAAAACAGAGAAGGTTAATTAATTCTTCGCTGACCATACAGGAAAGTGCTAATGTTTGCATGCCAGAATACTGTTATTTCAGCTTTTAAAAGCTGCACTAATGAAGCAGGAGGACAACTCTGAATTAGTTTCAGATTAGTACAATAAAGCTCAAATAGGTGTCTGAGCAGGAAAAAACGTAGTGAGGTGGTATGTAAATAAATGCATACAGAATTAGTACAAAAGAATGTAATTAATACGAATTAGATTTAATTGTCCTAATGTAGAATTGGAGCATGTTTATAACTGTGCGTAGTCAAAAGCAGAGAAGTATTTTCTTGCCTTATGACTTCATGTTATATAAGTATATTAACATAGTATTGTTATTCAGGTGCAGTTCATACTGTTTTCTAACAAGTCTTAATATGTAAGCATTGATTTCTTTTGTTGTCGCCGAAACATTTTGGYCACAGAGTACTGGTAAACATCTTAAATATCTGTGCATTGGCTAGGCCAAAGCAGGGGACGGAATTTCAAGTTGCAGGAGTTTTTCCAGCCCTCCCCCGTTCRGCCAGAGCTTCTCCTTGGGCCTGAGGATCCCGAAGCGGGAAGCGCGGTCTGGTGTGCCATCTATTGGAACCAGGCAAAATAACCGGGCRGGCGTCCTGCCCTTGTCGTGTGGCTCTCCTTCCCTCACCCTTGGCGTGTTGGGAATGTGTGGGAAGAGGAACCCCGTCCGTGGGACCTCCCAAAGTTATCAGGAGCGCGTCATGGTTTGTATACGTCTGTGAAGGAAGCATTGCTCCACGTGCTTGTTTGGGGGTAAACAGGAATGATGTTAGTTCATCCCTGCCGATTTTCCAAAGGCAGAAGGGGCAGGACCAGCTGGAGCAGGTGGCCCTGGGCACAGTTTCTCCAGCAAGGCTGGGCACRGAGCACCTTTCTGCTCATTGTGTGGGTACTGACATCGGGCAATGCAGCAAGGCTCGTGCTGGAGCTTCTCCTGCCTTTAGAAAGAAAAGGGCACCCACAAACCTGCKAAGCCAAAATATTTGGATTGCTGTGATTTAAACTGGGCAGCGGCACGAGGCTCTGAGCTATTATTCTTGGGGAAATCCAGGCGCTCAGCTCTCTGGAAATCAGAGCACTAAATTAGAGTGCCAAGGCACATCAACTTGACAAATTTGTCCTGTCACCCAGGGAGAGGATGCGGGTATGGTGATGAAAAGATCATTCATATATGCCATTTGGAAAGAAAACACTGATTATTTCAGGTGAACGGGATCGATCTGCGGAATGCCAACCACGAAGAAGCGATCACGGCGCTGAGGCAGACCCCRCAGAAGGTGCAATTGGTTGTCTACAGGGATGAAGCTCATTACAAAGACGAAGAAAACTTGGAGATATTCCACGTAGATATACAAAAGAAAACGGGTCGAGGGCTAGGCCTCAGCATAGCTGGGAAACGGTAAGAATGTCTCTTCAGACTGCCCTTCAAATGAGAAATACTTTCCACTTTGCCATAGGAACAGCTGTAGCTATTAAACAGAATGCCAAATAGGGGAAAACTCCATAAGCAACTAAATTTTGGTGTTAAATATCAGCAAGGATGTGATGGGGTTTTGATTCTGGGTTCTCTATCACAAAAGCAAAATCCCTGTGTAATGAAAGCTGCTGTTGCCCTTGGAAAAATGGCAGTTTGTGTTGCAGAGGGGACGTCCTGCTTTGTGTGTGGATATGGCCATGGGAACACTGGAACACCTGGGAGCTACACCTTTTGTGGAGTTCCTCTGCCTCAGCGTTGGGGAGGACAAGCTAGATTTCTCTCTGTTCCAAAAGGGAGAGAAAACAGCTGCCGGGATATGCCTTTGTAAATGGGTTTGTTAGATCTAGATCCTACTGGGATTCAAAGTGCCACTTCCAGGAGGCTGATGGAAAGGCTGGATCCAAATCCTGGAATAAACCCAAGTGCGTGGGGAGCTCAGCACACAGGAGCCCGGGGAACCTGAGCAGAACAGGGTAGCCAGGAGCTGCCTAATAAAACRTGATCCCTTACTGATATGCTTCTCAGCTATTGCTATTGAGCCGTTCGAACCAGAGCACTGATAAATTAAGTCCRTCTTTGCTAGAAGAGATTTACAGCGTGGCACAAGCGAGTGCTCCATCAGTCCTGGTGCACGAGAATCACACGGCTGCTCTTCGGTATTGCCCCCCAAAATGTATTTTCTCAGTTACAAATCGTCACGTCGTTATCCAGCCTGCGTATGGTCAGTAAAGGTTCCACAGCCGGTTTTTGACAAGGGTGGCGATGTTGAACCCAGGTGTTGTGAGCAGATTGCAGGCTGGATAATTAATTTGGCTTATGTAAATTACCCTGCAGATGGTTATCGTGGCCTGCAGCCCTCCCACGCTCGCTGCTCCGCAAAACTTTCGGTGCTCCTGCTAAAAGCTTGGGTTGTGGTTGACACCTTAGAGAGGTGGCTTAATTTGGGCAGCGGATTAAACGATGCCCATGTGTCMTGCAGGTTGCAAAGTGCCGTGGCCTTTAGGACAAGGGTTGCCAAGTGCCACCTCTTTGCGTGCCGTTCTCCACGAGCGTACGTGGAGCTGGGGTGGAGGCTGGGAAAGGGAGGGAAGCCCCGCGAGGAGCTGGGGCTCCTAAAGCTGCTTAGACCCCTCTGCCGCTTGGCTGGCCGCCCTCCTGCTCCTGCTGCCRGCCTCGCTGCGGAGCGAGAGCCACAAAGAGGGATTTTCTGCTGCATAACTTGTGTGCGAGCTACGAAACTCCTTTCTGCAGACTTATCTCTGTGCTTCTTTTGGGGACCTGCAGGCTCATAGGGAAAAAAGAAAACCACTGAGATTAAACCATTAGGGAGAATTTAAAAAAAAAATCAAGGGCTGCATAATTCTTGTCAGGCACATCAGGMGATAGTTGAACACCATCTTAGGCTGATGTACGGCTTTTTGTTCATACAGGTGCTGTTTTTCATGAGCCTTTGTGGATGGTGCAGTCAGAACTAGCAGCTCAAAGGAAAAGGCAGCATTAGAAACAGCAAAAATACCTTGWTTTTAAATTTCAGAGGTTTTTTCGCACTCAAATGCTTGAATGGGGGATATGACTCTTTCTTCCCCTGATCACAGGTTTCTGTTAATGTCTCTTAAATGAAAGTAGTCTAAATTGCTCTCTCAAAGAATATTGGATTGTGTAATTAGCCATATGCTTCTTGCATTGTCAGAAATGGAAGTGGAGTGTTTATCTCTGACATTGTTAAAGGAGGAGCTGCAGACCTAGATGGAAGATTAATTCAAGGAGATCAGATTTTGTCTGTTAATGGGGAGGATATGAGAAATGCCTCACAAGAGACTGTTGCCACTATACTTAAGGTGAGTACATAATACATTTTAAGATATTGACTTGTGGTTAGTGACATTGTGCAAGGTAATTATGCTGAAGTGCATTTACACACAGGCAGGACAACTCAAACTGATTACCCAGGCAGAAATCCCATCTGAAATGCCTTTGGAAGATTCACTTAAAATCACTTTTCCATGTATATTTAGAAGAGGGGATGATATAAAGTGGGAAAACAAAGACACATGAAGTATTTAGACATTTATTTGAGAAAGCAGCCGTGTATTTCCTGYACTAGAAAAACATTATGAAACCTGAGAGACATACAAAGCAGAACTGTGCTGAAATGAAGTGTTTTTGGCTTTGCTGTACTAACCTACAACTATAAAATTGCGTGTTAAATCCATTTCTGCGGAGCTGCTTGTCCTGCAGGAGTGGTTTTATGCTTGGAAGCACTTGGGCCTGAGAGAATTTGCCTTTTTCCACTAGGAAGTGAGGGCTGCTGCATGTGAGGGGCCTGCCATCACCAACAATGTTTCTGCATGTGATTCCTTTTCTTTTCTTGAAGAGCAGGGCTAGTTTTTCCTTACTTGGTGCATTCAGGATCAATACGTGGCCATAAGTTTATGTATTTGAAAATTRGAAGTCGGTGTTATGAGAGTATATTACTAAGTTGAATCCATATACATTACATTTAGATTTGCTCTTTTCTGCAGCATTTTGAAGTGTTTTTAGAAGTATGGTTTCTGGCAAGCTTTTTGTTGTAGACTTTTGGGGKTTTTATAGTGAAAAATTGACAATCTACAGTACAATCTAAGAACTGCTATGCCAATAGAAAGATTCGTGGTGCCTTCAGGAGGGATGGTATGATGAACCTAAATGCAGCCTCAAATATTTAAATATTGTCCAAATAAAAACACTGAAGTCGAGAGCATTCGGTTCCTTGTGGTTTCTTCAGAATTGTGCCCCTGAAAATAAGCGTGATTCTGTCCAGGAGAGCAGGAAATGCTGAATTTCTCCTTAAATGCTGTTTGATGATTTCTTTCCCCAGTGTGCCCAAGGCCTGGTGCATCTTGAGCTGGGGAGGCTGCGAGCTGGATCATGGCTGTCGTCACGGAAAACACCCCAGAACAGCCAGGTTAGTGACAGGTTTGCTAACCATAAATGAGGTTGTGGAGGACACGGCACAGGGACGGAGCACCAGAGCAGCAAGGGAGGCTTGGATCCTTCACAGGCATCTACAGATATGGTGCAGTCACTGTAATTTTCTTTTCCCATGTTGAACTGTGAAGTGTTTATGGTTAAGTGACATGCAGGAATGCTGAGTAAGCAGAAGAGTTGCTCAATGAATCCCTTTTTTAAGGAGTCTCATCCTGAGATGCACCACAAATATTAAATATCTCRAGTGATGTGCAGAAATGTTTCAGACCCACGAAGCGCCGGCTGCRGATGTGTTTTCTGTAGCTGTTTTGCCCATCAAAATGGGTTAATTAAAGTGAACTGTATCTTTACCTATCTTAGGGCAGAACCACATGAGGACTGCTTTGCTCTCGAAGAAAACACAGAGCAATTTCCTGCCTYGCTCGGTTCTTACCTGAAGCGAGGACAGCGATTCATTTCTTTCAGTCAGTGCAGGGCTTTTCACCTCTCCCTCCTGCCGCCAGCTGAGACCCTGCGGTCATTGGTATTAAACCTGAGCATGCCAGGGAGAGAAGCCAGGCAGGAGGATGGAGAAAACGGGTGGTTTTTAATGGGTTTTCCTCCTGCTTTGCCACGACACTGAGGCTGCAGATGTTCCCCAGAGGGACGAGAGCCAGCCCAGCCTCTGCAAGCGCTCCCAGGGCTTCCTTCTGGAAACAGCAAGATGTAGGAAGCTGAGGAGTGTAAGGTAAAGCAGGAATGTTTTTAAGGAGAAAAAACAATCTTGTTGGTGAGGCCAGTAAAGAGGAGACCCTAGATATGTGTGAACAACCACAAAAGGGTGCCAGAATCATCATTGTATGGGATGCTCCCTTAATTTTATACAGGGCAGCAGCAATCCAGTGCAGTGTCCGCAAGGATAAGGTGTAGGTAAGGGCTGCGGAACCCATATCCATGCAGGAACAGCTACACTAAGCCCAGCCTGAAAAATAACAACTGTTTCATTGGAGACACGTGTGCCCTGTGTGCAGCAGGCAAGAAAAATGAAGGAGCAGAGGAAAAGGATAGTAATTGCATTAAGGACAGACCGCAGCCTCCATTATTGCTTCTGTGGTCATCGGATCCACAGTGAACCTAGGCGGGAGCAACGGAAAGGGGAAGTGATGGATAAAAATTATCATCTGTCCAGTTTTACAGTGTAGAGCTAAAATCATGAGAGAGAAGTAAAATGCTGCAGTACCTTAATATGACTGTAGAGAAAATTAGTTCAAAAATTGAAAACTTCACCCCTTCTTCTTTTGTAGCATAGGAAGCTTTTGCAGGAAACTGGTYGTTTCTGAATTTCTTTTCGTATAAGTGTTAATGGCTGCTCTAAATGCAGAGTCACTTGAGAAGCCTGCATCTTGCTGGAAAATACAGCTCAGGCTCCAAAGAGACTTGCTGATTTTGAAAACTGAATAAAAGCTTCTTGCCCGAACAGCTCCAAGTGCCATAAAAGCCTTGGCAGGTAACATAGCATCTGCAGGGATGATTTAAGGGCTTTAGAGGCTACTGGCCAAGAGCACCCAGAACCACTGTTCTCCGGTGACTTTTTTGGGTCCATCACATGCCTTTGACCATAGAATTACAAGTCATGTGGTGCAGGACAGCCATTTCTCCTGTGCTCCTGGCAAAGTGCATTAACTGGCCCATGAATTGGCGCCTGAAGGTGGGATTTGGGCTCTGGCTGCTGCTTGCCACCGCACTGCTCACTGAGGAGAAGCACTGGCCCTCTGCAAAGCTTCTGKTTCCAATACGTTTCCCAAAGCGATGCTGTTTCCCCCCAAAGGGGGGACCCTACAGAATAGAGCAAGATAGGGAGGTAGGGAAAAGCAGTGCTGGAAAAGACCAGCCAAGAGCTGATAGCGCTCAGGAGCCTGGTGTCACAGGGGCTGTTTTGAGGCTGCCGTTTGGGTTTGACTCAACCGTTGTGATTGATTTTTACCCGCAGGCAACGCAGCAGAGCGTCCACAGCCACTTCCGTCCCGCGCTGGCCCCGGTCCTCTCCACCCTGCAGAATTTTGTCAGCACCAAGAGGTCTCCGGCGGACGCGGCGCAGAGGGGCTCAGGTGCAGCAGCTCGGCCCGCGTCACCCCCGAGCAGCACCGCGGGTGACCCGAGGAGCAGAACTTAGTACCTGTGTCTGTTCTTCCTCATCACGCTCCCACAAAATGTACTGCTGCTTTTTTAAGACCCTGGGCACTTTCCAGCAGACGACATTACTTTTGTTTCTGCTAGGAAAGAGTAGGGAAGTGCCTCCTCTATTCGAAATATAAAATTCTTGCACTCTGCTTTTCCCAGGCATCCTTGTCAGAGACTTAGAACAACAGGCGAGGTGCTCTGTAACATTAGAAACAGTTTTCTCAGTGGATAAAGCTGCCACCACTTCATTTATCTCTATCTTACTCTTGAATGTATAGAAGGGTGTTGTGTAACAAAAAGGTTGCACTGCCCAGTTTGCAGAATGAGCCTGTGCTCGCTGGCCGCGCACCCGTGCGCTCCCACCCAGGCCGTGTCCTCGCCATGGGGAGAAGCAGAACACGTTTCTTGAGCCCAGTTCAGGTGATTCCTTTGAAGTGACCCAGTCTTTTTCTTTATTTTTTTAATGTTTTGAATACTTTCAAATGTCCTGTGGCTAGATAGATGCCATCCAGGCTTCCTGACTGTCTATTATTTACCAATACACCATAAATTAGAACAGGAAATCAATGGAGCCTCCACATTTCCCAGCGTCCTGGCCTTGGCGGTAGGGCCACGTGATTTATGAATAGTAAGCTGATCTTTAATGGAGGGAAATGCACACAGGGCCTTTCTGCAGGCAGCAGAGTTGTGTTGTTCAGGAGGTGCTGGGGCCACATCCAGCTCCCCAGACACAATCCCTGTGGTCCCCGTGCGCAGCGCAGCCCGGGAACGCTCTGCTCCGGCTCAGGGATAACTGCCGAGGCAGCAAGGGACACGGCCGCCTGACAGCGTTATCGCTTAATTATATTATCTCTCAATTACAGAAGCTAATTGTTTGTTCCTTTATTAGGAGGAGCAGATATGAGCCCGAGGACTGTGGAGATAACAAGGGTCAGTGAGTTATTTTCTGTCAATTCAAAAAGCTGTCACCTTTAACTGAAGTTGTTAATTTTGGTGTGTTTCTCGGAGTAAAAGTGCATTGCTATTTTTGTTTGCACTGCGTTGCCCAGTGTATGTCTGTATAAAGGGGCCCCTGCATGAGGATGTGTGTGAGCAGCAAACCTACCTACTGTGGTCTGCTCCAGTAATCAAAAGGTTCAGTTGTTGCAGCAGCCTGAACATTGACCTCGATGAGTTTCTGCAATTGCAAATCTTTTCTTTTTTTTTTTCTTTAGGGACCAAATGATGCCCTCGGGATCAGTATAGCAGGAGGAAAAGGAAGCCCATTAGGAGATATCCCCATCTTCATTGCTATGATTCAAGCCAGTGGTGTGGCTGCTCGGACCCAGAGACTCAAGGTGAGTAGCAGGACCCTTGGGTGCTTTCTGTCCCATCTGCTGCGTTTCCTCCAGCAAAGGAGCCTCGTGTGCTTCTGTGTGGATCTCTCCTTGAAAATTGCCTCACAGTCACAGGCTACTTAAGAAATAAGCAAATAAAAAACTCTTCTTTTTCCTTTTTGATTAGATTTCATCCTGGGATAATTGCAGTGGTTGCCCACATGGAAAAGTAATGTTAAGCTATAGCATGTGAATGCATTTGGGGCAATCTGCAAGTGCATTTGAGCAGCGAGGAGCGAGGCAGGAGCTCTGCAGTGTGTCCTCCCAGGAGGAACAGGCACCAGGACAGCAGAGAGGGCATCCTTAGAGCTCAGGCAGAACGGATACTGCCTGTCTCATCCTAAGACCTTTATGGAGAAATACAAAGAAATGGCAAAATAAAGCAGCTGTAATAATATCAGACTCTAGGCAAAGGGGAATCATTTTGCCTGCAGGGTGACAGGGACATGTTCCTCAGCAGATATTTGGATTTTTAGGAATGACTTKGGTGAATTTTTGCAAAGTTTCGGGGATCCTTCATTACTAAGAAGAAATTGTTATGCAGATATATAGGAAAATTATGTCTCTAATCCTGCCGTGCAATTCAGTAGCAAATGCCACTACTGTCACAGTGCCATGTCTTTAATAGAACTGTACAAGAGCACTAAGTGCCAGGGTCAGGATCACTTTTGTGTAAAAGAATAAAAAAGTTGTAATGCTCATCAGCTTAATATCAGAAGTGTCTCCTATCCCCTACTGCATTCAGCAAGTGCACACATAATCCATAAGGATACAAACTTGTATGCACACGTGCATTCAAATAAATCCTCAGTAGGGAGAACAACAACAGGCAAAATCTCACTCCCTTTGCTTGCAAATGGGAATAGTAAAGTGAAAACCAGCTCCCAGAGTGCGCTGTTATATTTAAAATATCCCCATCCTCCTCGCTCTGCAGAACGGTGAACGATCGCTGGCGATGCTGACTTCTAAAATGCATCCTGGAAAGGAGAAGCGTGACTGTGCAGGGCCAAGTTCATGAGGAATTTTAAGCATTCTTAATTTTAATTTTCCCTAATGCTGGTAATTTTCCATTACTGTTGTACTTTCAGGTTGGAGATCGGATTGTCAGTATTAATGGGCAACCTTTGGATGGGCTGTCTCATGCAGATGCTGTTAATCTACTAAAGAATGCTTATGGGAGCATTATCCTGCAGGTATGGTGATAAATGGAACATGCAGCTGCATGAGGGTAGATAAATGGCACTCAGGGAAAAAAAAATCCTAAGCATCACTGGCATGAGGCATCATGGAATTGCAGGGTGCTTGCTGATGGGAATTACACCAAATGAAAGCGAGAAATAATTTCCATTCAAAAATTCTTTCTTTTCACCCATACAGGCTGTGAGCTTGATTATATAAAAGCATAACAAAGAGAACAAAGTAACTTGTTGCTACACATGACAAATCAACAAGCTTCCAAGATACTTTTTTTCTTTTTTTTTAATTTGAAGTTAGCAAGGAACATGAAATTACTTGTGTGTTTACGTGTACGTGCGTGCAACCAGACTGTGAGCAACGAGTCCACGGTGGTAATTCCCTTGCTCTTGAAAGGGGAAAAGAAAGAAACACTCACTGCATTTAGTGTAAATGATAGCATCATAATTAAGGTCGTGTCATCTAGGACTGATTATTCTACAGGTAATGGATAATAGCACTCGAGGGGAAGAAAGTGATATCACTGCCACAGTTATATTGCTAGGTAAAAGCAAGACATGATCTGCCACTCTGTCCCTAATTGCCGCTTGCCAGTATATTCATCTTTATTTTTATGCCTACACAAAGAAACGGGAAAAAGTACTTGCCCGAGAGAATTCAAACTACTACCCCTCATTTGCAGAATTGTTKTAACAATTAGAAAACAAGCTTAAGACGCGCCACTAAAATCTACTCTAATTTTCCTCATCGTCACAGCATATTGGATTTGAGCACGTCTTGAGCCGTCCTCGTAAGCTTCTTTCTTTGCTCTGCAGAATGCGTGCGGCTGTTAAAAATGCCAAAAAGCAGCGGGATGATAACAAACTGGGGTTTTAGAGTTGCTTATTCTTTGTTTGGTCTGTCGGTGGCCTGCTGACCTGCTAAGTGAAGAGGCGCTTCCCGAGCAGACGGCGTGTTGGGGTGTTCGGAGCAGCGGCGCCGGTACGCAGCAGCTGGGCACTCGTGCTTAAATTACAGCCATCGTATCGTTACTAACGCTGAGTCCTTCCACTTTTCATGTCAACCGTGTTCCCTGAACAGAAAATGAAAGCTGAAACTGCTAGTCTTGAAAGCTGTAATACAGAATATTGTACCTCATCATGGATTTAAAGATATTCCTGATGAAGCACCCTGTCAGTTGTTCACTCGTGTAAACAAAGGGCTTGTTCTGGAGGTGTCTCCACGTTGTCAGTTGAGGGGTTTTCTTCCCCTTTTTTTGCTGTGTAGCTTCAAAATCTGCTCAGTACTTTTTGCAGATGACACACGTTTATTCTGGTAGAAACCAGCCCGTTTTATGCGTGTTAAAAAGCAGTTTTGTGGAGCTGGGAGGCTGCATTTCGGTGCCGCTGGGGAGCAGTGCAGCAGCCCTGCGGAACGCGTGGCGATGTGCTTCCCTTCCACACCAACCGCGGGGGCTTCCCAATCACCCGATTGCTTTTTTATTAAAACAATGTAAGTGGAATAATCCTATCAGCATGATAATCATGACTGATGTGTCATTAAGTARTTCTATTTATTATCAGGTTAGACCACTTCATGGCAAACTGCTTTGAAAGGTCAGATAATTGTGTTCYGTGGTGTGGAAAGGCTTATTATCAGCACGGCCTGGGAAGGATGGCAAAGGAGTTTGCAAATGCTGTTTGCAAATGGGAGATTAGGGTCTCGCGGGAACAATCATCCCTTCCGGCTGTTTYGATGCTGTGGTTTAATTTAATTTCTTTTCTGCAGGTGTAGTAATGAGATAAGGGGAAGCTTTTTTACAAGGTTGTTGAACTCTGATACATCCTTGTTGCCAGCTGAAGATTTTTGAATATAGATTTATTCTGCCCTCAGTTTATTTAGCAACGGAATACGAGAAATGCTGGCAGTCTTTGCCTCCGCTGAAACGGGAAAGAAAACTTGGTGGTGTCTTGTCTGCTGGGGCCCTCAGTAAGGACCCGGGAACCCGAGTCCCGGCATGTGAGATTTGCAGRAGAAATTATGTTTTTATTTCTTCTTTTCCTTGAAAAATGCCACAAACCTCCCTGTCTGCAATTGATTAAAAGGGGGAAAATAAAAATATGTTGTGGAAGAACTGTGAACATACTTTGAAAGCAGGTTATTTATGTGGTGGATTTTGTTTTATTTTGGAAAGGTTTTTTCCCTTAAGCACAGCAGGGAATGGAAGAAGCGCCCATTAACTTTGATAAAATAAGGCTGTAAATAGTTGTAGTAACTTTGGAAATGCAGCGACCGTGGTGAGGTGCTTGTCACTGTCTGGGGCTCCTGGGCTGCTCGGGGAGATCGAGAAGAGCAGAGTCTCATCGCAGGGAGATGGAGCTAGGGAATTACCCCTGCACATGGTTGTGAGGAGATTTGTGTCCTTCCAGCTGTGAATGCTTAGCAGAACCCACAGTGCTTCATGGTGGCGACCTCACCTTTTCCCAGGAAAAAGGACAGAACGGAAAATCAGCAAGTTTAGCAAGAGCAGAGCGGGCCCTGGAGCCCTGCGCGCGCCGCAGCCCGTGCCCTGCTGCTTTTCCTTGGGAGGCCCAAGCCCTGTGGGTGGCAAGGCCCAGAGCTGGGTGTTCAGGTAGCCCCTTCCTCCCTACCCCTCTCAGCCCCCTGGCTGGCCTCGTAGCTGACCTGCGAAACGCCGGCCGGGCTGTGCCAACAACCCGGAGCAGGTTTGGCGCCTCCTTACCCAGGAACGCGCAGCGACTCCCGCGGGGATTTGCTGGTGTGGGTCAGGATGGTTTGGAAAAATACAGGGCTGGATTTGAAAAGTTGAAGACTTTTTTTCTGCTCATCATCCAGAAAGAAAAACGTTTCCCGTTTCCCAGTGTGTGACAGTCATTTTAATGCACCAGCACGAGCAAAACTGGCGTTAGTGGCAGATGTAAGAGAGTAGGACTTGTGCTTGAAATCCGACGGAAACGCATCAGTGTCTGGTTTTCCTAGGGGAGCAGCTGTTTGCTACATAATTAGCACGGATGTCCTTGCCTCAGACCCTCCCTTGCACCTTCTCGTCCAGGTTGTGGCCGACACGAACATCAGCGCCGTGGCTGCCCAGCTGGAGAGCCTGTCGGCGGGATGCAGCCCGCGCGCCGCCGCGGAGCAGCCTGCCCAGGAGCCGCAGTGAGTCCCCGTGCCGCCGGGACGGGCTCGGGGCCGCCGGGACGGGCTCGGGGCCGCCGGGACGGGCTCGGGGCCGCCGGGATGGGCTCGGCACCACCGGGACGGGCTCGGGGCCGCCGGGACGGGCTCGGCACCACCGGGACGGGCTCGGGGCCGCCGGGACGGGCTCAGTGCCACCGGGATGGGCTCAGTGCCGCGGGGACGCGCTCCAGGCTGCGCGCAGCACCAGGGAGGCCCCTTCCCGTTGCTGCCTCTCGTCTCACTTTCCATCCCCTTTCAAATGTCCCTGTTGCCCTCCCTGGGCTGATTCTTCCCCTGCTTGAGTAAATAAGCACTAAATGTGTTTCCAAGCTCTTGGGTTGTTCCCAAACCTGGCCGCTCTGCTCTCCTCATGCGTTACCTGGTGGAGGAAGGGGGTCTGCCCTTCTCTTTGGGCCCCCTTGCCTGAGGTGAGCTGTGATCACAGCAGGTCAGCACAAGTTGGAACACAAGATATTCAAAGAACTGGTATCAGAGATAAGTCTTTCCAAACATGTCCAGGAACCCACTTTATCTTTTGAATGTGCTTAGCTATGCAATTCTAATACATGTGCTTAATAATTTTTTTTATATAATTGCATTTTTTTTTTATGATGGTAGAAATTAGAGATCTATCCCTCCCATGGGCATAGAACATCTTCCATTGTGTGTTTTTAGCACAGCTTTTACAGCATCCTACTTATGTTGAAATTCAGTCGATCTTCATTGTGGTTTGTTTGCATCATTATGTTCTTAATTTCTGTTCTTTGATTCATTATATTTATTTTAAGAAGCTGAGATGCAAGTTGCTACCCTATCTCAGGGGTTTTTTGAATATAAAAGTTAAGCTATTTAAGCTGCATTCTCTAGTCTTACCAAGCGAGATACTGTTTTTATTGCTGCTCTCAAAGGAGAATTCCCTCACAAAAGGATTTGTATTCTTTTCTTTAAAAATAATCAGGAAATCTGAATTATGAAATGATGAAACTGAATTAGATAGCCATATGCATTCATTCTTTCCTTAAAGAAGTGGCTTCTTTCCTTAAAGAAGATATCAGTCGGCGTAGGCTTGTTGAGGAGGAAGGTGCCAAGCAGCTCCCTAAGTCTTTCTAAAGGGGCAGAAGCAGCTCTGGGGTTTGAGGTGCCCGTGCCCATGGGATTGGTGCTGGTCCCACCTGGGAGTGTGGCCCTGCTGGGTGCAGGCRGGAGCCCGAGGGCGCCGGCGGGCCGGGCAGTGCCCGGCGCGGGACACGCGGGAGCTGGGCTGGAAACGGCCGCCAGGACCCGCGGCGTCGCGGAGATGCGAACACGAGCGGCGCTGGTTGCAGCCTCCACACCGCCTCCACAGCGGTGCCGCTAGGGAGTCCTTGCGGGTCCTGCAGCAGAGCCTGCAGAAGCTGCATCCGTTGGTTAGCGTCGCTGCTGCGGCACCAAGTGCTCTTGTTCCGCGCTCCAAGTGTTTTCCAAGTGGGCAGCTGAAGCACGTGGAGCCGCTTCTGAGCTCAGGGTGTCGAGAGCAGCTGGTCTGAGCACAGGGACGGAGCCRTGGCTTGTGACTGTGTGAAAAGCTTTGTCACAGATGAATGTGTCTCTAAGTGTTACTTCTGCAGAGTCCCGAGAGACAGACCTTGCTCTTCTAAGTGATATTTATTGTGTTTTCAGAGCACCTCAACCTAAGATTATTACTTTGGAGAAAGGCTCTGATGGACTGGGATTTAGTATTGTAGGGGGGTATGGAAGTCCCCATGGAGACCTGCCCATTTATGTCAAGACTRTATTTGCCAAGGTATCTTTTTTTGTTGTCGTTTTCTCCCTCTTTCTATATTATCTTTAAAACAAGGCATAAGGTTTAGCATGGGTAGTACGTACGCAGCCAAAAGCAGAGGGTGCTGTGTGGGTGTGCGTGTTTGGAGGTCAGGCACCGGGCCCTGAACTCGCAGCTGGCCTCTCACAGGAGATGTTTGTATTTCACACTACCGATGGCAGCAGGATACTTTATCTCGGCAATATTGCTCCGTGTGCTTGGGAAGCATCTCTCCGTTAAAATATTTACAAGGCAATTTTGTATCTGGAAGTACTGCTGAAGAGGTGCCGTCATTCCCCCGTACGCATGAGCTTGCAGAGATGATGTATCTTGGTAGCCAGACTTCAGCTGCGAGGGCAGGAGCAGGATCTGTGCTCAGGCAGCCGCGTGCGTGGGCGGACGCTGGGAGGGAGGGAAGGGGCCRGCGCGGCCGGCTGGATCCCGTGGCCGGGCTGCATCCCGCGGCCGGGGCTGCTCCCATGGCTGGGGCTGCTCCCGCGGCGGCGCTGCCGGTGGCTCCCCGCTCCCGGCCCGCTTCTCCCACGCCGCTCCGCGCCCCGGCCGCGCTGCTTGGCACAATCCACCCGCTTCCCATCCCAGCTGTTTGTCACCACCCACCCGGTTCCCGTCCTGGCTCCCCCGGAGCCTCCCGGAGCGGCCCCGGCGCTGACCAGGACACATCTGCACGCGGTGCCGCCGCGGGGTCGGTCCCGTCACTCCCGAAGCCAGCAGGGCCGTGGGCTCCTCGCAGCGGGGCCGGGAGGCAGAGGCGCCCGCCGCCCCCACGGCGGCTCCCGGCTCCCCACGCGGAGGAAAGGGCAGAGCGTCGACCTGGCCCCCGTGCCGAGCGGGAAACGCTCCTCCCCTCCCACCACAGAACACCCCAGCGGCCACAGACAACGACGGGGAGGCCCCTTTTCCTGCCCAGCGGCTGCTGGGAACGTTCTCAGCTTCTGTCAACAAGATACCGTAGCCAGAGCCATGTGAGAGGAATTTTGGAAATGGGCTGGGAGAGCGGGGGGAATTTGGGGATCCTGCACATGCCTAAAGCAGCTTTGAAGCCAGTCACACCAAAATGACCTGTTCTTACTTGCTGTCCAGGAGTCAAGAGTACAAGCGTTGTGTCTTTTCTCACTTTCCAGCTATTAGCTTGGGAAGACAGTTGTCCTTAGATAGAGGCTGAGCTGCACAAACGCGCAGCGCTCCTGGGCAGAGAGATCCTGCGTCCCGGCAGTCACTAGCGCGGGCGGAGGGGGAGGCGCTCGGAGGAGCCCATCGTCTCCACCCGGAGCCCGCGCCGGGAGTCGAGACATTCCCAACCGTCGGGTTTGCAGGGCTGCATCCCCCCCTTTGCCGGGACAGGCGGCGGCGGGAGGGCTGGCCCCCGGCCTCACGCGGCGCCCTCTCCTCCGCAGGGCGCAGCCGCGGCCGACGGCCGACTGAAGCGCGGCGACCAGATCCTGGCGGTGAACGGGGAGGCTCTGGACGGCGTCACCCACGAGCAGGCCGTGGCCGTGCTCAAGCACCAGGCGGGCGCCGTGACGCTCCACGTGCTCTCGTGAGCGCCGGGGTCGCCGCGGCCCGAGGCGACGTCGCGGCCGCCGCGGCCCCCGCAGCYCCGGGACGGGACGGGACGCGCGGGGACAGCAGCGGCTCGGCCACCCCGGGGCCAGAACCGCTCGCGTGCGGCTCCCGTCCCGCCGGCCCTCCATGTTTATCAGCCCGTCCTTCCACCCTGCTCTCCTGCTTCCGGTGGCTTTCGAGTTTTCCCTGAAGAAATTTAATTCAGAAGCTTTAAAAGAATGACATCCATCCTTGCAAGAATGGCATCTCTCCCTGCACGGGTTTATCCCCACCAGGCCGAGCCCYGGTTCCAACCGCCGGCCCTGGAATCGGATCACACACAAAAGCGAATTTCGAGCATCGACTGATCTCATCTGATGAGCAGAAATAAATGCTGAGTGACTTGTCATCTCATTCATGATTTACTTATGCTAATTGTCCTTTCAAGTATGCCAGAAAACATTAGCAATGTAATTAAATTACCACTGTTCCAAATGATGAAATATCAAATTCTCCTCTGGGAAATTATTTGGGCTCGGCACAGTAAGTCTGATAGTCAAATGTGAACTTCTCATGTTTATCTCTTTGGGTAGGTCTGTGGAAGTTAGTCAGAGGTAATTACTGTGATGTGTCAATTTGCAGCCTTGAGCACGAAAAATAGACCAGAGGAGAGGGAAATTTAATTTGGGGGGCTTTTAAGCTATTTGAGCCTTTTCAGATAGCAGCAATGTGTGAGCAGCGACGTATCTTGCTGCTCCCTGGTGCTGCTTTGAAGGGGAAGGCGGGCGCCGGGACGTGGCACGGGAGGCAGTGGCGGAGGTCGGAGGCCGGCGAGGCCGGGCCCCGCTGCCCCCCGTCTCCGGGCCGCGTGGAGGCGATGGGGCCAGCGAGACGCGCCGAGCCCGTGGGAGGCTCCGCAGCAGCCAGCGCAGGACGAGGCTTCCCCGGGGCCTCGGGTCGGGTCCGGGTGAGACCGTCCTGGCGGTGCGGGAGCCTCGGCCGGGCGAGCGCGCTCGGGGCCGGAGCGCTGGGCGCGGGAAGCCGCGTCGCTCCCGCCTCCCGCGCCGCAGCCGTCTCTGCAGTGGCGCTGCAGGTGCGTCGGGCTGCAGTGGCGCCCGCCAGAGCCTTTGTCCCTTTTCATTTGCAAGTTTTCTTTGACTTCCCGTGACCCCAGAGGGTCCGGCCTGCTGGCACCGCCTGTGSGCGTTGGGCTCACAGCGCAGCGCGCCTTGGAGATGGACTCCCCCCGAACACTGGGATCTGCCACGTGAAATGTTCGCGGTGCCTTGAGTCGAGACACACACCAGTCTGTCCAGGAGTGCTGAGTGGGAGAACTTTTAACAGGCTGCCTTGGATTGCAGAAGTACCGCAGGTGTGCACAAGTGAAATGCGGGTAGGTGAAGTGTGGAGGTACCTTAGAAATGCTCTAGGATTTACAAACAAAAAGCAATGATTCATCTGTCTGGTTAAGTTTTTATAGCTGTGATGTTCATACTTCAAGATATTGCCACATTTAATCTATGAAGTTTTACCTGGCCATTTATTAGCCTGTATGCGCATACTGGCCGCACACGTAAATAACAGCATTTACGGGCTGCAATGTTTTGCACTTCTCATTGCTCAGAGCGGGAGGGAATCTTTTCTGCTTCTTGCAATTTGCACTTTGTGTTTGGAATATATTACTGCCAAAAATCTCATCGCAACTAATTGATAACCCAGTGACCATGCGGAGAAGCATGTGCTCTATGTACAGGCCCAAGTTACCTAATTAAATCTGCATTACGCTTGTCTGGGTTGAGGTGTTCTGGTTTGTTTAAAACTTTATTTCTCTGCAAGGGAAAAGGCAATTAAATTTCCTGGCTGTATGTTTATGTATATCAGTAAAATGAGACATTTTATGACTTCCAAAGATTCTGAATAAAGCTCAGTTACATAAGTAGTTGTTGTACGTTGCTTTTTGGGGTGTTTTTTATTTTGCATGCTGTTTTTTTTAATTAAGCTGCTGTTAACACTTATTGCACGAGATCTCTTTGCTTGCCCCCCCAGGCAGTGCCCGGGGCTCCCCTCGGGGCAGCAGGACGGTGCCAAGGCAGGTTGCAGTGGGGCAGATCCGGGGCCGCAGCGCCAGGAGGAGGCTGCGATGGGGAAACGGCAGCGAGGAGCAGCAGGGCTGAAAGGACAAGGACAAGGACAAGGACAAGGACACGACCCGCACGCAGCAGAACGGGGCAGCAGGAGGAGGACGACGAGGACAGGAGCCCCCAGGGACCATTCCCTGGACACGAGGAGTCCGCTGCCCGGGCAGGGGGTTGCAGGAGGATCGGGGACAGCTCCGCGCGGCGCCGGGGACGGGCTCGCCCGGGCAGCGGGTCAGCCTGGCCTGTTAAGGGGATTGTGTCACATTATTCTGCTGCATAAGGAACTGTAATGCCGCTGCTGTAATGCCACTAAATTCCCTGTAATTAATCAAGTGGCGATTACCACCCTGGAAGTATGACATCTATGGAGCCTCTGGAAGTAATGCGATTATGCTGAGATGGAGCAGTTAATGTACCTTCGCCTGAAAGAACTGGAAGGAATTAATTTAACATTATACATGTATAAAACATTAGTTTTTACAGTTGGGCTGMGCATTGATAGATAATTCCATTACCACCTTTCTGCGCAGTTTCACACTTCCCTCTCCATAATGTAGCTGCATTTACGTTCTGTTCAAACGCTGTCACGATCGTTTTTCCTCTTGGTGGCCCCGGGCACTTTGGTCTCTGCTGTGGGCGATACCTGGACCCTGCAGGATGGCAGTGGGTCGGGGAGCCGCGTTCCGCCGCCTCTGGGATCACCGGAGGATGCGGCTCCTGCTGCTCTGCCGCTGGCCTCGCCCGCTCCAGCRGCCGGGAAGGGGATCCCTGCGCGGAAGGAGCGGAGGCGGGAGCCGCACAGACACTTTGCATTCCTTGTGCCCCTGTAGCTGCTCACTTAACATTAAAAATCACATCCTTAATCAAAATAATCCCACCAATTAAAATCACATTTACGTGGGCCCTGGGGAGAGCACCCATCTTGGGGCAGGGCTTTGGCTTTCCCTCATTTCCTAGGAGATTGTGCAGCGCCACCGTAGTGAGTGCCACAGCTGGAGTAAACAGAGAAAGGCTCCTCTGAAGACCCCGAGGTAACTTCCTTCTGAGGAAAACAGACTTTGGGGAGGGTTGCTTGTTTGCAGGCTGACTGTGAACTGTCTCTCTGGTCCCATAAAGCCCTTTCTTGGCTTTTATTCTCATCATTTTGTAGCAGTTGACGTGGAGCTCGGGCAGGACGGCTGCTGTGCAYGAGGAGCAGCTCCTGGCTCTCTGGGAGGGCATCTGCTGCAGGCTCTGTTTCGTTGTGTGCAGTGTGGAAGGAGGAGCTGCAAACAAGTTCCCCTAGACAGCAACGAAGGTTGCAAACGGCAGCACACGTTGGTTCCTCCATTTGCCCTCTGTCTCGTGTCTGTTTTTATTTACAGATTGTTTGCCTTGGATGCTCCTCTGAAGCTCGGCTAGGTCCTTCCAGCGCAGGCGGGCGCAGAGGCTGGGTAAGGACTCGTCTCCGGGGTCTCTGCAGAAGAGCTGGGAGCTGCAGGAGCGGGAGGTGCTGGTGCCCGGGCGCTGGGCACCCTTGCGACGCTGCCGGTCAGCGAAGCCCAGCCAAGAGTTGGCTGTTAGTTACGTTTTTGTGCAGGAATTGGCTGCTGGCCGGTGTCCCATGGCCCCCGGGGGACCATTTCAGGTGTTTTCCTCCCCAAAGCCTCTGCCCAGCACCAGGATTGGCTTTGGAGGGCAGGGAAATTGGGGCCCTGCTTGCAGCTGGCCCTGTGCTGGGAGATGGCGTTAGCCAGGGAAATCYGCACGGGATCCTGGCTGTCTGAAGCAGTTTTGTCTTAGCAAGTGTTTTTTGCTGCTCTCACCAGATAAGCGAGTGTCAATGTGTAACTCTGTTACAAGCTATTGMTGTTTGCGGAAAAAGAAAGCTCTATTAACTTGCTGCACTGGAGGGCARCAGATAGAGCCGGGCGCGTTATTGCAGCGCGGCCGACGCAGCCGTTCCCTGCACGGCAGCGCTAGATGGAGCCATCGGCAAAACATTCCCGATCCCGGGCTGCCTCCGTGCCCCGGCCCGCAGCACCGCCAGGCCCGGCCGTCGTCCCCGCGGGAACATCTGCTGCATCCGCTCCCCTGCAGGCCGGGACCCGTGGCAGCCTGATCCCATCCGCGGGGATTAAACCCACCCCCCCTCCGATGGCACCGAGCTGCCGGCGTGGCCGTTTCCGCAGGATAAGGCAATTGGATTGTCGCCCCGCGGGGAGAGAAACCGCTGGGTTTGAGGCAGCCCTGAGCGAGCTGCAGGTTGTCGCTTCTGGCTCTTTTTCCCCCGAGTTTTAAGTCTAGCRGCAGCACCGGGGCGGGAGCCCCGGGCGCCTCGTGGAGGTGCCGCTGGCGCCCGGCGGCGCTGCCAGGCTGTGCTCGTGTGGGCGCTGCGGGCGCGCGCAGGGACCGCAGCGGCCCAGCTGGGGCCTGCACCTGGGGACACGGTTATCTCATCCCTTCTCCACAGTATAAGAGCTCTCACTGGTCCTGGGGAGTCTCCGTGGGGCTTGGGACTGTTTTCACAGGAGTTTCTCCCCAGCCTCACARAGCTGGATCTGCACTGGGGTACCAACAGCAAGGAGTGCTGGTATCCAACTGAGGAGTGTTGCAGTAATGAGGGAAGAGGAAGGGGCAGTGCAAGAGATTTAAGGATATGGTGTAAACTGACTTGCAAACTCTAAAAGAGACTGCACACACACACACACACACACACACACACACACAAAGCCTAACTACTGAATGTGATCTGCTTTTAGAAATATTAACTAAGTCGTTTGCAGTCTCATACCACACACCATCTTGATGGCACAAGGATGGACACTAATCCCCGCCTGCAGAAGCACCTGACGGGTTCTAATGCAGTGAAGCACTGGTAGCTGGCCTGTCTTGGTGTACAAAGGCTAACGAGTGTGATAGCGTTTGGGCAGGCAGGCCCTGRGCCCTCCTGCCTCTTGTGGGAAAGGGGGGAATTCAAGACAACAAAGAATTCTGCCTCAGGTGCAATTTGCCAGCAGTGCTGGACTGACACCCAYGGGACAGCGAGCCCAGAGGAAAGTCTCTCTGTGAACCTCCTGGCCAACAGTGCCACATCCTGGAGAGGCCTGTGATCCTTGGATCCTGGAGAGGACGGGGATCAAGGCTCCTCATTCGCCAAATGAGGCGATCCTCATTTCCCGTGCTGGGGTTGGGATAGCTCCAAACTTCACATTGTGCCTGAGCATCACGTGTACTGATGTGCAGGGCCTGTCCACAGACTACATTTCCCGGTTAAGTTAAGCTTAATTAGGAAAGATAAGAGCCATATGGTGATTGGGAGTACAGGCAAAACAAGGTCTGTTTGTTTGAGTCTGGTGCAGTCAACTATTTTCCTAGAGCATTATTTTTTTTAATTCTTACATCAACCCCTGCATAAGCAAACATAAATAGGATTTTATACTTTACATAATCCAGCCAGCTTGTATTTGTTGTTACATATACTGAATAATTGCTGTCTGCTATTGCATACAGAAAGTCTAATAATAAATATGAGGACACAAACTTACACGTTACATGAGATACGGTTATGCAGTAGATTAAAAAGAACACCATAGTCTAAGGTTACAAAAAGTAAGTATTGCTTTCCCAGTGTGCTTTCCTTTTATATTTTTTTGCACTCACCTGTCAAAACTGTGCTGGGAGCGGTGTGAGTCGAGCTCAGAGTTAACTTCAGGACTGACCCTTAATAAAAGGCAATCCAGTTAATCCAACTCTCCAAAACAGTATTTGAGCCATGGTGCTATGTGTAGATTAAGGCTATATAAGTAGGCTTAATGCAGCAAATTATACATTAGGGTTGTACGCAAATAACTGACAAAGTTTGCTCCGCCTGTGACTCCAGCGATGCTCAGTGACACTGGCCACGGTGGCTGCTGCTTCACCCGGGCCTGCGGSTGCTGAAAAACTGCGTGTTTGGTCACCCTGGTGTCCCCGGCGCGGGGAGCCCGGGGGCCCGGCTGCTTCCCTCGGCGGCGGCCCCGCGCGGCTCCGCGTGCGCTCGCAGCAGCGCCGCGATCTCCGCGTGGGCCGAGCGCTCCGCCAGCTCCAGCGCCGAGCGGCCGTCCTGCCAGAAGGAAGAGGAGGGGGATTTTACTGTGCAAATCTTCAGCTTTCACATCTTGCATTTTTGGATAGCGTGGATTCAATTAACCTGCAGTTGGAGCTGGAGCCCCATTCACCTGGAGGGAACTGACCCATCAAAACGCTGTTGCAGAAAACAGAAGAAAGCACCATGGGAAAACTGACCACATAAGCCACTTGGGGCTTCCTAATCCATTCTTTTTATGAATTCCCCATGGAGTGCAGAAACCTAGAGCTGGTTCCTCCTGGTCATAGACAACTGATTTATGTTGCAAAACCCTTTTAATACAGCCAGCCCTGCAGCAAACTGCTGAGATTCCTTGGCCCAATTAAGGTGGCTGTTGCAGTACCTCACAGTTACAAGTACAAATTTTCCTCTCAGCTCCATACATGCTTTAAAATGAGCAACTGGTCAGTAAATCTTCCAGCAGGATTTTGAGACTTAACTGGCCCTATGCACGTACATCCCGGGAGGGTCTCGTCTCCTTCCTCGTGCCATCTTTTCAGCTAAGCCACATGAGTTGAAGATAAAATTGCAGTTTAGCTGGGATACAGCTGCATAAATGTAAATGCAGCCATGTGCTCTGTTGCTAGTAGCCTGTGAGGGAACAATCAGCTCAGCCTCTTGTAGGTTCCTGGTCTAATAAATCCACGTCACGCACGTGCCTACCAGCAAAGCGCTACTTTTCARTAACGGGTTATTAATTGAATCCTGGAGGTCCTGGGCTTGTTAGGAGACAAGATAGCAGTCACTTTGCCCTGCTTCAACCTATTTGAAGCAGYGTGGCTTTATCCCCACGAGAACAATTTACTCTCTAATATTAGCTGTATTAACCAGAGGGAAGATACCGGTATCAATTTGCGTTCCTCTCAGCCTGTAAATGGCCAAGGAACTGAATCAGCTCCACAGGTTGTTGCCTACGCAAGAAACCACCTTTCCTTCAGGCYGCACTGGCTGTCACCTCATGTCACCATCCCAGTGTGCAGCCCAACAGGCTGTCGGGAGCCACTTCCCAACAGGAACGAGCTGTTAGTTACGGCCCCATCCAGGAACGCACTGTTAGCTACRTTTTTGTGCAGGAATTAGCTGTTAGTTATGGATTCATCCCTGGGGACCTCCAAACCATGCTCCCATAAATAAGCCTGCTGCTCTATGGCAGCCCTCCTGGGACAGACATGGGATTTTGGCGCGAGCCAGTTGCCAGCCGAGGCTCCCATCACCATCTGCCATCCCGCTACGGAGGACCAGGGCACGTGGCCACGTTGGAAACACAGCCCCAAACTAGCTCCTGCCACCCAGGGCCCCTCCAGCCTTGCCCTCGCTGCGGCCAAGCTGGGAGTATCCTTCTCTGCAGCAAGTTGTGCCTAAACAGCTCTATTTTGAAATTTCCTGGAAAATATAAACAGCTSTTGAATCCATTTTTAATCTTTTTTTTTTCTTTTAGTTCTCTTGTTGCTGCAAGATCTGCCAGACAGGTTTACTGCTTCCCTGTGTCTCACTTGTTCATTATGACCAGCTCTTTTCTGCACAATACTCTTTCTGCTTGTACATTAAACTGTGAATAATCAGAGGTATTGATATGATAATCAAAAGTATGATTTTTTTGTTGTTTGTACAGCTCAGCACACAGCAAACTCTTAGCTAACAAACAGTGTTCACAGCCATAGCACCCAGGAAACTCTGCAGTGCATTATTATTACTATTATTATTATTATTAACTCCTGATGGCTGTTTCTGTTGCCTTTCTTTGTGGCAGTGTTTAGAACAAAGGCTACATGGACATGTGCTACATGGATCACTTGTAGTTGTGACGGTTCATTTATGGGGAAATAATGTAGCTGCTTAGTCTGTTCTGGTCATTAAGATGAAATAGGATTTAAGCACCATATGGAAGAGCTTCCCCAACACTCCTGTTTGCATTAGAGTTTAAGCAGATGAGGTGCACGGAAACATATTTCTCTTCCCCTCTCTGAGTTATCTCAGGCTAGGAGCAGTCTGGGTCTCCATTAGCAGATGTCAAGGGCAGGGTGAGTTAGGTTTTCYCCTTTCATGGGTGGGTTTCAGTTCTGAGGAGAGAATTAATTGCTTCTGATTTCTAGGAGCTGAAGCAGTGTTGATTCCAGATATCCAGGAGGTCCCTATTTTTTTAAGTTTTATACGAATTCCCTCCTCACAACCGCCCTTTGTCACCCCAGTACTGGGCTAGCTGTGATGATGCTTTCGAGTCAATCTGCATTCTTTCCCTGTGGGTCTGTGCTTACAAAGGAGACACCGGTGACCTCTTGAGCATCCTGGCATTTGCTCCAGTGCGGTCTGTTCTCCACCAAAAGCAATACAGGGAGTCTCAGCTCTTATGAAACAGGAAACTCCAGAGGACACATCTGCAGGTCAGGTGGTATTTGAAATCACCAGAAATGCTCTTGCACCGAGGAGGCAGCAGGGACCCCGTGTTCCCTGTCCATTCCCAGCGGGTTCCCCTTACCTTATCCGTGCGGGCGACGTCGCAGCCRGGCTGGGCCAGGAGGAGCCGCACGATGTCGGCGTTGCCTTGCCGAGAGGCCACCATCAACGCCGTGGTCCCCTGCTCGTCCGGCACGTTGACGTCAGCCTGGCAGGACAGCAGGGCCTGCACCATGTCCTCGCGCTCGTGGCTCACGCCGAGCAGCAGGGCCGTCTGGCCCCCCTGGGAACAGCAGCAACAGACTGAGCAGCAGAGAGCCCCCCAGAGACCTCCCGCTGGTTTGGGGCTATAAACGCTTCCCACAGCGGGGCTGGACTGCCCGCTGTTGAGCAGCAGGGCTCCCTAATTCCTGCTGGTAGGACTTTAATTTCAGTTTACACACATTCAAAGATGCATTTTGCACTGGAAGAGCTCTATAAGCAAGCAAACTGTCATCTTAAAAGACAGTGCACCATCAAATTTGACACTGCTGGGCGCCAGGGTTCTGCAAGCCCAAGACTTTACCCCAAATTGCTCCTCTCCTTAGCAGAGTTTGCACCTTTCATTTGTTTGTTTATTTTTATTTTGCTCTTGCTTCCCTTCTGAGAGTGCTGTTGGGCGCCCCAAAAGCTGTGAGCTCCTCRACAGCAGCTGCCTCTGGTCCCATGGGCGCTGGGTTCATCCCACAGTGATCCCAGGAAAGCAGCAGTGAGCACCACCCCACACGCTGGGATGCTCCACGTCCTGCAAGGCTTTAATTAGTAGTCGAGAGATGGTGTCTCACCCTCCTGAACTGACAAAGCAGTTCTGTCACGGCCAGGGAATTCTGGAGGATTTAATTAATCATGGTGGACTCTGTATTTAGGTGAAGGTGCCTTTAGCTTTTGGGAACCAGGAGCTCCAGCACTGCATGGCCCACCGAGTCTTAGTTTCATGCTGTATTTTCAGTATTAGAAGTAACTCTAATCATATCCCCCCAGAGGTCTCTATGGGGGCATGATTATGAAGGAAATTATTCTCATTATGCTCAGCCACAGCTTGAATTAACAGCCATGYAACCAGTACCAACAGCTGCTTATAGGACCGAGCTCTCCTATCCCCTCTGATTTAATTAAATCCTCAAAAATATGCCCCAAACTTGTCGGGGCAAACCTCCAAGCTACCATTCCAGCTGTGCTGGCTGTTGGAACAGCAGGAGTTTGACGATCGGCACTGCCAGCAGGAAAAGGCTGTACCTGGAGCAAGGCTGGACGGCGCTGCCCTACCTGGCTCGCTCGCACRTTCACGTCTCCCGCCCTCAGCAGCTTCGTCACCACCTCCATGTCGTGGMGGCTCTCGGCGGAGGCCAGCGGCGTGATCATGAGGGCCGTGTACCCGGCCTTGTTGGGGCGGTCCACGTCGCACACCCCTGTGGACGAGACCCCCCCCACCACGTGCACAGTGTGGACAATGGTGGCTGTGTCCTGCGGCAAACCCCCCGTGGCCTGACTCGACACGGCACCACGGGCCATGGAGCTGCCCCAGCTATCTAGGACTGCACCTTTATCATCATCATTAAATGTCTACTCCTTAAGGATCCAGCACAGAATTAAAGGTCCTTGCAYACTCTACATTGCTACATTATTATCGTTGAGGTCAACTTAGCAATTCACTTTGCTGACCATAACCAGATTTTATCCTGCATTGAAAAAGTAATTTATGCCGTGGGCATGTGGCCAGTTGTGAAACTGTTGTGATTTATTTTAACTCCCARACTTGGGGAGCGGCAGCAAAATGAAAGCCGCCTTATGAGTGGGTAAAGCTGTTTTGCTAGATTTGACTCATAACTCAGTTTCAGTAATACCAGCTCTGAAGAGCTTCAGAGTCTTATTTTGGTGCTGTTCCTCTTGGTTGGCCCCAAAGTGGGGAATTTGCTGCCTGAGACACTGTAACTCACATTGATGGCAGCCCAACAAGCAGCAATAAAGTTGCTGATCAGATATCTTTCTGTGACGAACTTGGGGGGAAAAAATCCCACCTTGCTTCACAGACTAGAATTAGTGGGGCTGTTTTTTAGCATGTTTAATTTCCAGGAGAGACACATCCTTTTGCAGTAGGGCTGTCAAATAGACCCACAGTTAATCGTTCAAGACAGCAGTAAATTTCACAGTAAAATGCTTTACAGTTTTTGCTCTGAAGGATCTTTCTCAGACTGCTCTATTTTCTTTTCAACTGAAGAGCTTATTTTCAATTATAAGCATCACATTGGCAAATTCTCTCAAGAAATACATTGGTGCCAGTGTTTCAAAGTGAGCTTTTATGTTCTGGGCCCTGCAGATTAGAAATGAACTGTGTCTAATCTAAGAACATGCAATTTTAGTGTTGCCCTTTGAACTTTGTTGCTTCGGGCATTTAGCGAAAGAAAAGAACAAACTTCTCCCAATGCCCCGAGGCTGTTTGGAGGCCTGTGACAACAATTGGTTTATAGATGTGTATGATAATATGCCATTTTCCTAACATTTAACAGATTGTCTCGCCAGCAGAAAAGGCCAAAGTGTCTTTATTCCTTCTGAAAGCGCTTGCATTTCCCCTTCCCACCCTCTCCCCAGCAGAATCTCTGCTGAAAGCGTCATTCTTTACCAAAGGAGCTAAAAGTTCACTGGTTAAGATGTTTTTTTTTTCCCCGTGAGGCTCCCAAGGCAGCTCAGTGGTGAGACCCTGGGGGCTGCCCCTACCTGTGTCTAGCAGCAGCTTCGCAACGGGGAAGTTGGAGTGGGAGACGCTGTAGTGGAGCGCGGTGTTGCCGTTCTCATCGGCCAGGTTCACCACGGCCTCCAGGAGCTGCGGATGGGCCTTGCCGAAGGCTTCCAGGAAGGCGGCAACGGCCTCGGCGCTGGAGGATTTCTGGCTCGACACACGGAACCACTCCTGGGAGACAGCGCCCGGGATGCGCTCCTGCAAACGCAGAGCCAGGGCTGGCTCCTTCCTCTGCCGCTGGACGTGACCCTGTCTCTCGTGGCAATGCTGCCCTTCTCCCCTGGACACCCACCTGGGACATCTCTGTTACCCTCTCCCTGTTCACCCTCTCCTACTGCAGCATTTTAGGGAGGTAGCTCTAAATTTYCTCCTAAATTCTCCAGCCTCCTGTCTTCTCCTGTCCATATTGAAAAAAGGACATTATTTTCACTCTGAGCTGCTCTACCAGGTCAAGCCCAGAGGAATGTGCTGTGACTCAGCCTGCAGGGACAGCAGATCCTGGAAATCTGCCCAGGTCTCTGCCCTCTGCCACTTTATCCTCCGCCCTGGCATTCCCTCAGTGTTCAGCACATGGRATGGGTTTTGTGATTACTCTCATAACCGAAGAGAGAGAGGCATTTCCTGTGGGAATTTGGATAAGTGTGCAGACAAAGCTCTCCTCTCCCTCTTTTTTTCCCCCAACTCGAARGTCACCTCGACCCCTTTCTCCTTCCAAAGTTGTCCCTGGCATGGCAGGACACGCTCCACAGTGCACAGCTAGGATAGGTTTACTGATTAAATGTAGCAGAAACTGGGAACTGCATCTGAAATTTGATTGAAAGATATCCATACCAGATGCTCGTTGCTTGGGGTCCTAGTTTCTGAGAGGTGTTTGCTGAGGAGCTGGCAGTCAGTAAGGCAATCTTCAGAGGGTTTGCATCTGAAAAGAAAACATTTGGGTAAATCTATTATAAAACTGTACCAATATGTAGCACTGGAACAGGAAGGATAATGTGCAGTATAAATGTTCAGGTCAGAACAATTTAAGCGCTTTTTAAAATGCTTAACTTCATGCATGTAACTTGTCCCCTTGATTGGAATCAGATTTTAGGTACAAAATTAAGCACTCTGTAAGTGTTTGCAAGTGAATCCAGAATCTATGATCTGCACGATCAACTTCAGCTTTTACTATAATCCTTGAAAAGAAAAAAAGAAAAAAAAAATATTTCTGACTGCAAAGAAAATTCCTTAGCAATTTTACTTTGGGCGTGGTGGTGGTGGAAATGAGCTAATTCACCCCTAATATGACTCATTTTGCCTTTTCCATAATCAAGTGTAGGGCCTGAATCACTTGCCATTCGATTCTGCAGTATTTTGGAAAACATTTAGCTCTTCAAAACATTTTCCCATGTGTACAGAAGCCACGTTTCTCTTCTCTCCAAAAATGACTAATTTTGCTGACAATTGGATGTCAATTCTTTCATTGAAGCTTCAAACCTGCTGGCTGATATTTATTGCTGAATGTAGCTAAAATACTGTGGTTTGGGGCTTACTTGTCAGTCCCGTGTTGCGTGCCGGTTGTCACCGTTGCCGCTGGCTCCTGCAGCCCGTTGTCCTCGTGTCCCTCATGCTGGGAGGTCTCCGATGCCAAGGGATCACTCTCATGTGCAGCTTCTGGCTGTCTCTGCTCTGATCCATCCGATTTCCTCTCSGTCTCATTGTCTGAATCCTCTTCCACTGGGCTGTCTTCACGACTTGTGTCTTCACTTGAGGTCGTTTCATAGCTAATTGAGGACATCAAATGTTACTCCTCCTTCCCCATCTGCAATTACAGGGCCTGAGCCAAGACTCATTGAAGACACCCATTGACTCCAATGGGCCTTGGATGAAGCCCAGTGATACTCATGCTAAAAGCGTTAGAGCTACATCCAAACTTTAGGTTACTTGTTTTTTTAACCTCTGAGGCATCTGTACTCCCAGTTCCCATGGGGATCTGAACCCCCATTCAAGTAGCCCCACTTTAAGAAGACCTCTCTTTGGGTTATCTAAAAGCATTAGTAACAGTAAGATCTTGCAGGAGACAGAACCTGTAATTGTCAGGGATGCCCAAACCGGTCAAGATTCCTCTACTCACTACAAGTTGTATCAGCTTCAGTATCTGTTATTAGAAGAAACTCTACTCAATAAAAGTGAGTAAACCCTGATATGTTGAACAGCTGTAACCACAGAGCAGGGAGGAGGGGAAGAAGTACGTGAGCAGAAATCAGCCTTTGAACTTGCACACATAACTCTGTGCCCAATGAAGAGCACCATGACACCATGGAGGGACAGGCAAGCGACCCTACACCTGGACCTGTCCTATCATTCTGCACACTAGCAGTCAGGGAAGGAGATCAAAAGCCAAGGAGAGTTAGATGCATGGATAGATAGCAGACTGCACGTTGGAGCAAAAACTGTAACATGGTCTCACTCCAAGATAATTCCACAGCTACGGGGTTCATCTCTTCTCAGTCCCTGAACCATCCACTCCTTCACCTGCTGCTGAACTTTATCCAGCCACAACTCCAGTTAGCTCATTACGGTCTCAATTATGTCATCAGGAATCCCCTGGTGGGGACCCAACAAGGCTAAATCTCAGCTCCGCTCTCAGTTCAATAGAGCTTAATTCACGTAGCTTGGTGTAAAACTGCCCGCTTCCCGGTGGGCACCGACTTGTGCGTTTGCTGGTTGCACCACAGCACGCGGGTGGGCAGACTGACTCTCTCCCTGTGTTCGCATGGCACGCAGGTCCATGCAGTTGGTGCAGGTTTGCACCCTGCCTGCCCAGGCCTCATCCAAAACCCACCACAGTTCATGGGAATCCTCCCAGTGGCAGGTCTGGGTTTTGGGTGAAGCCCCAAGAGACTGGAGCACAGAGAAATCTCTAAAAACACCCGTGTCCCAGTCTTTTCTACAAGGTTATCAGTACTGGATTAAAGAAGGGAGAGAAGAGGCTCCATTTCAAATGGCCTTTTAATGGAGAGATTTGGAGGGAAAGAAAAGAGAAGAGAATGATTTCAGCAGTACAGACGACTTTACATGTTAGAAAGGCAGTTTGATCTTCTTAATTGATGCTTACCCACCATTTACCCCAACAAACTGAAGATTCTTTTTGGTCCCATTGCCTCCTGCATGGAAACCATAACCTTTCTTTTTCATGATAGATTTAAGACTTGTGGTTGGAGAGATTTCTAGCAAAATACAAAATAATAGATTAAATAAGCAGATGTGACATAATTATCAATAGTTATTCTCAACCTGTAGTAACAAATGACAAATCATCACAGTAAGCATAACAACTTGACCTTCTAAGATTCCTTTTATAACCTGCAGAACTAGCAATGCCTCTGGACACAGCTGAACCTGCCTTGCCACCTTTAAAATAAGGACCTCAAACATCTCCAAGTGCCTGCGAATATAAGGCAAGTGGCTGGGAAGTGTATGCAGGTTCTGTGAACTCTCTTTGAGCTCTCGTAACAAAGTTTTCTGAGGCCTCTCTCATCTTTTCAGCATCGATGCTATGGATGTTTCTGCCCAGCGCCTCTCCTACAATACTATAAGGATGACTCACTCCTTTGGAGTCTGAATGGTCTCTTTACGTATTAATTCTAAGTAACAGTTGCATATTTATTTGCAAGGCCCCTCTGACCAAGAAGAGGGAACCTTGCCTTTTGGATTTTGATAAGCTAAAATTGTTCTAGATAAACTATGTTGTGACTAGGAACGGGCCTTTTCACAGCCTCCCTGCTCAGTAAGGTTGAATGGTTTTAGTTTTGATGAATGTCGTGCTGATTTATACCAGAGAAGCAGCAAATTCCTGCATTCTCCCAAACTGGAATGTGTAATCCATTTAAGGAAAATTGTCATCAAGGTTATTCAAGATAATAGCCTAAGGTTTTGAGGCTTTTGCAAGCTGACCCTGCATGTAACTGAGCCACAGCTTTATCAGCTCTTACATGGATTATTTGTATATCATTTTTAAAATGTCATGGCTTGTGATACGATGAGATTTTTTTTTCTCAAACATACATTTCTAGCAGGAGCTATTTCTGACCTCACTGACACTAGGTAGCCACCGAGTTCCACAGCACTACACCTGCTCTACACTTGATTAAATTAGATTTGACCCAGACGTGTTGAAGCCTATGCCATTATTTACCCAACTGTTGATACTGTGTGTTCGAATTCTCCTTATCTGCTGGCCCCTGTGTAGAGTAGGCAGATAACAACGAGTTTAAGGAATTAACTAATTGGTTCTGAATGGAGCTAAGTTTCGAGGCAGGCTGCTTAATAGCACTTGCTAACTCCGGGTAGCCATGCTCCAAACACATCCACTGCTCTTGCAGGAGCTCCTGGATTTTTTTGACATATTGGCCTATGGGATCTACAGCGGCGAAATCTTCTTGGTTACGGTGACCTTCTTCTTCCATCACATCTTGATTTATATCCTCGCCACTGCCGGGCTGGCGTTCACCTGTATCTGAGCCAACTTTTGTTCCTCGGTAGCTTTCTGTGCTCACTGCATGAGCAGCAAGATTCTGGGTACCAGAATTATTTCTTTTATTTCGATTGTCATCACCGAGATGTTCATCAATCTTCAGCTCAGTGGGGCGTGATGTCTGTGCCTGTTTGGCAAAACGTTCAGGTCCCTCTCCACCAACTGCCAGTCTCTGATCAATCTGAGCCAACTTGCTATTTAACTCCTTAGCCTGTGAGTTCATGTTGTCTGCTCTGTGGATGCTGCAGCCTATGGATTGTGTAGGGATCGGGATATTTACATTGATGCCTTTGTCGTGGCTTTGCTTGGAGCCGTTTGTCTGTGTGAGCTCGGTGTTCACCGCAGCATCATAGTACTGCAGGGCACTGCTGCCCTGCTTGGCCAGTGCTCTCGTTTCCCTGCTATTTTCACAGCGCAATTTTTCTTCTAGCTGAGCTTTGGAGCTTGCGAGTAACTTAATGCTTTTCTCCTTTTCCTTGATTTCATTATCTTGCTGCTTCAGCACTACCCTGATCTGTTCAAGTTCTTCTTTCTTGCTGCTTAGCTGCTCCTCCAGAATAACAATCTGCTGCTTCAGTGCTGCAATCCTGCTGGCCTCGTCTGTATCACAGTGCAAAGGCTGAGGGCTCCAATTTTCCTTGTTCTCTCTAGCCCAAATATTTCTGTCTTCAGCTTTTCTCAGTGCATCTGGTGCAATTTCACTTACACTTAATTCCCTTTTCTCATGCTTCTTGTTTTCATCCACAAGCTGGAGGGCACTGGCTGAGGCAGCTCTGCCCTTGGCTAATTCAGACCAGCTGTGTGTTCCTGCTGCATCACATTCCTCTCCCCGGCTCTCCACAACCACCTGCAGCTGCTGCACTGCAGGGTGCTGGTTTGGCCATGGAGCTGGCATCTCCGGGGGCTCTCCCAGCTGGCGCTCCAGCACGGAAGCGACCTTAACCTGCTGCCACCCGGCCTGCTCTTTCTTCTGCACCGCCGCTTGCTGCTCCCGTCGAGTCTCTTGGGGAGGATTTGCTGTGGCGCTGTCGGAGCGGAGAGAAAGCGGTGCCTCCTTTGCAGGGCTAAGGGGACTTTGGGAGCAGCCCTTGTCCTCAGAGGGCTGAGGAGATGCCAGGGGCGGAGCGGGCGCGGGGAGCTCCTCGCCAGCGCTCGGGCCCGGCGGGAGCGCARCCGGCAGACTGGAGGCGCGCAGCAGCTGGGGCCTGTCCTGGCGGCCAGCCTCCCCCTCCGCCTCCCGCGCCAGCTCCCCTTGCCTCAGTGCCTCGCCTAAAAGGGCTTTTCTTCGGAAACTTGGCTCCTCGACAGCAGCTGCAGATGGAGGCAGCTCACTGGGTACCAGGGGACGGGGAGGTTCCTCTGCCCCCAGCGATGCCTTCCGTTGTGCAAACGAGTAGGTCGCAGTCCAGCTTTTGCTGGGAGTGGAGGTATACGCGCGAGAGCCACTCTCCGGCAGGCTGAAATTGCGGGGCAGAGTGCTGAATTTTGGCTGCTTGGCTTTCCGGTGGATGTGAACCCTCCTGATGGTATTCCCTTTCTCAATGTCATCCACGTACTTCAGGAAGTCCAGGTCTAAGTGAAAGCCATAGGGTGTTTCAACAGAGTAGGGGAGGCTTCGGGGCTGGTCTTTGTCCCCATTGGATTTAGGCAGCTGATCGTTTGCTGAAATAAATGCAGGGAAGGGAATGATTGAATTTTAGATAGCTGGTAGATTAAAAACAAAGAAAAGGAAATCAAATACATGTTTAGAGCAGAAGAAGAAAAGCAACTGCACCTTTCAGCAGTCTTAAGTAATGCAGTGCAAGTCATGCATTGCTTCGGCAGCAAATACTGGCTCACAAGTTATTCCCTGCAACTAATGAATACAGAAAAGGATGGGAGCCTGACCCAGCTAACCAGCCCTGCCTCATGTATTTACATCCGTGCAAAACATGTGCTTCCTGCAGTCCCTGGATGCGCTTCACGGAGCATATCTTCTAATGGAGGCAAATGAAACACCATGCAATGCGTTAACTGCAAAACAGTCAATTTGTCCCCTCATCTGTATGCAAGGAAGAGGCAGAGCCTCAGCGGCGCAGCCTCGTGCCGCATACGAGCATCTCTCATGAAGGCAGATGCTGACACTAGATACGTCAGCAGTTGGTGGCAGCCGTCAGTGCGATGCAGACACGCTGGCCTCTGCCTGGCACCTCTCCACGTGGTCACTCCTTCCCTGCTGTAAGCAGGGACCAGCGAGTAACTGCAAGGGACTTGCTGCAGAAAGGCCAAAGCAGGGCTCCAGGTTATAAATTATTGCCTCTGGGGATTTAAACTTCTGCACCTGTAATGCAGCAGCGCTGTGTGCCCACGCAGAAGCAAACCTGGGCATCCTGAAATGCAGCCCATAAAATTCCCAGACCCCCATTTCAGTCTCCAGTGTCTAAACAGTTAACCCCCAAATCTAAATTCAGGGAATAAAAGCAACAGCCTGCTTGTTGTTCACCTTTTTCTTTCTTTATGTGAGGAGTCCCTGAAATGAAAATGATCTTGACTGCTCCGCACCTTTGAGGAAACAAGCCACGATCTATAAACAAGGAGAGGAGTAGCCCAGCCAAGATAAAACACGTTTCATCATTCTTTCCTTTGTCTCCATCTTTGTGCAGCAGCTGTGCAGGGACTAGGAGAATTTGGCACCGATTTTAAATCCTTTCATCACAARAGCACTACTGAAATGTAGCTGCTTTTCTGATGGAAAATAGCATGTGAAAATCAGAGCGATGATAAAGGGAAAAGGCAGCACATAGTAATAGGGCACAAAAGCAAAGCCCCACAATTTGGAGAAGGACCTACAGAGAGCAGAGGATGGGAGGGCAAGTATGTGCTGATCCGTAAGAGCTGGGACCATGCTTCACCATGGTTTACAACAGCTGCATAAGAAATGAAAGCTCCATTTTTCATCCCTTGGCCTTCACATGTATCTAAAGAACACAGGTTATCTGCAGTATTTTGGGTGAGGAAAATACTTCTTTTTTTTTTTTCTTTTCTTTTCTTTCCCCCAAGAAACAAACACGCAAACAAGCATCCAGTAACCTCCATACCATCTGTCTTCTCCATGATGTGGTCTAATCAGGCTGTCAGTTAAACATCCTCCGACAGGCTAGGACAGATGAGTCAGTTCACCTTTTAAAAAAGCAAATACACATCTTAGATGAAAAAGATCAATCATCTTAACTTTACCTGTCCTTAAGGCCTTACACTGCTTCACAAGACTTGCTTTTAGTTCAAGTATTCTGAAGGCTGACCATGTCTGATGAGCACTTTTAAGCATGCTTAGATCAACGTTTCCTTCTGTAATGGTAACAACTCTTGCTTCACAGATGGATCCAGGGTGTTTCTTCCTTACAGAACACCTCCTACACTACAAAACTACTATGTGTTAGATTACAGCTGGACACAAAAAAGGAGAAAGGAGAGTTTCTGTTAGGTCTGCAGTCGCTGGCATAGGAACGCTCCATTGATTACTACAAGCTGGATATCATTTGCAGCTTGCATCCTGCTTAATATGTCATCTTGTGGTGAAAATGGCCAGGGATCAAAACTGTGCATAAAAGTGGCAGCATAAATGTGTTAACATCCAAAGATTCAGAGCCCATACTGAACCATGTTCAAATGAAACCCAAGATTTCACAACGTGTCCGTATCATTATGGTGAGCCTTCACCAAACACTGAAGTCCACTAAATCATATTAGTTCTGTGGAAGCTGTTTCTGTTGGAAAGGTCTGCAGGTGGAGATCTACTACAGCCTGCTCACAAGCTTCATGTGCAGCCTAGGCTCTATTGTGCTCATTTCTCCTTCCCATCATGAACATGGTAAGAATGTCCCAGACTGCAAGAGTTTAAGGCCAGGAATGAGGCCTTCTTCCACACTGCTAGAAAGATACCAGATCTTCCACGTTGCTAGAAAGATGCCAGAAGGAGGCAGGCTGGGGGTAAGGAGGACAAGGCAGATGCATATTACTCTAGGACATTCCCTAACTTGCATGAGGAGAACAGGAGAACATCAATGCTCTGAGTGAGAAGGTCTGTCTGTATTTTTGTTTCTGGCCTGGGAAAAAAAAAAAAGAAAAAAAAAAAAAGAACAAAAGCAGGGATTTCTAGGAAGGTAGGTTGACTGTTTAGGGTTTTTCTTCAAGTTTCTAATTTGGTTCCTGTCAGAGGGCCAAAGAGAGTCCCAAAGACAGCAGGTTAGAAATGCACTGCCACTTCTCCAAGAGGGCTGTAGTGGGCCCCTAAACTACACCAGATTTGCAGGAGAAGGAGGAGACAGCCTGAGGAGATGGCTGCTGGCCAGCAGGGAACGCAGCAGCGACCCTTTCTTTCAGAATCTAGTTCACATCCATATCTTTGATCAAAACATCAGAATCTGAATTCTTTTTCTGCTGTTAGTATTTTGCCTAAATAAGGACTTGAGCATTTCACCGTGCTTTCACAGCTCCCTGTGAGTGGGATCCAGCCAACTTCTACCCTCACTTTGCCTGTTACAGCCCCTACCTAGCACTAGGTAGCAACTTGAGCTTTTTTTCCCTTTTCTGCATGTCCGCCAGCAGAAATCTCCCTAGAGCACTGGCTCTCAACAGAAGCTGCATCTAGTCTGTCCTCTCTGCTATGCTGAATTCCCCTTTTCTTATGTAATTATTTTTGCAACTTTCTTGTGGAAATGGCAAGATAACTAGAGGTATAGCTCAGACAAGCAGAGTATGGAGGTGCTGCTATATGTTCTTCTCATTGGGAAGCACTGAGATGAAGTATTTTAATTGCATCAAAGGCCAAGAGATAGTGAAGCAAAATCCTGCTGCATTATTATCYTAGCACGGATATAGTGAAAGATCAAAATCCTTTAAAATAGCATAATTGCAGTATAGTTGTTAAGGTAAATCTGCATATAGCCACGATGGCATGTTTAGAGGGGCCCTAATCAAAGCAGAGTATTAAAAATGTTTCCATGGCAGGTGCTTTGCTGCGGCTGGTGCAGCCAGACACAGAGCCTGACACCTGCCCAATGAGTAATTTGCTTATCTGCTGTGCGAACACCCCAGCCTCTGCTCACAAAAGCCTGTTTCTGAGCCACTTTGACCAACAGACTCTCGATGTGTTCCCAAATTAACTGCATTTCTTCTATAAAAGGCAATTTCTTCTGCCTCTTTCTGCCAATAAATAGTGTGTGCCAAAATGAACACTAACCTCTTTTGCTCAAATGTTTTTTTTTAATTTTCCGATTACAGTCAATTATGAAGCAATTATGAATCCCAGCTACAGTAGGACCAGTTACATTTCACTCTTCTAGGTCATTTATTAAAAGAAAAAAAAAGGAAAAGAAAAAAAAATGACAGTCAATAGCATGCTTTTTAATATCTACATAATTATATCTAATTAGTTCATTTATGAGCTGGCTCAATCCCAACCCTGCAATCCAAATTGATACTATTACTTTTCTCTTTTGACCAATCTCTTTCAGAATCACCTCGTAAAAGGATGCTGAATGCAGCCTACCAGCTTGTTGATGCTCCCGCATTCCCCCTGGTGCCGTTTAGACACAGCTCTGCTGGCTTGGAGCCAAAACCACAGGTCCTTGTCCCCCAACTGGTGCTCTCCAATGACTGTCCCTAATAAAAATGAGAGCGAAATGAAGGCATCCATCCGGATAAACGTCCTGGAGACCCAGCTGCCTCCCGCAGCCATCTCAGTGCAATGGATGTTGAAAGGGGTTTCATTTCTATTAAGGAAGGGACTCTGCCTCCAGAAGAAGGACAATCTTCTACCCAAGAGCCTATTCAGGCTGCAGGTGAAAATCCCTCCGTGTTTGGTGCCAGCCTTTGAGGCAGTCTGAGGAGAAGAGGGTGCCGCTTGCTGGGGACAGGGAGATAGGGACACTCCGGCACAGATTTGGTGGCTTTGGTACCCTGTGAAGGGTGACCACAATGGGGATTTGCCTTCTGCAGCAGGGCTGCAGTGGCTGAAGCCACCTACCTCCAAATCTAAAACATCTGAAGTTGTCCTGGGCTGGCCCTCGTGCCCCAGGACACGGTGCTCCAGCTGGCTCCCCAGGAGCCCTGTCCCGGCCTCTGCGATGGCAGAGCACTCACACCAGCCCAAAAYGAAGCCTTTTGCCCTAAACCAGGGCCTGGCTTTGGCACTACGTCTGCTGCAGCTCACCCTGACCATCCTTTTTGCACATGGGAAGGGACCCATTGCTGTATCCCCATAATATTTAGAGAAATCACATGGACATACGATGGCATTGGGCAGTTCTAAAAACTCGTGTCCTCTTTCTCCTTTAGTAAACCCTGAGCCCCACTGTCACAGTGGTCCCAGAATATGCACCAGGAGGAAGGATGTCCTGCTCATCCTTCTCCAGCTGACCCTGGCTCAAGTTTTAACAGAGACAGACTGTCCCTATGTTACATAATACCGAAAACCACTACTTTAAACCCCAGGCAGACATCTCCGCATCCACAGCACCTTTGATTTCTAGTTTTACTGCACCCGACGGCTGTGGGGAGGATTAATCTGTGTTTATATCACACTGCTTTCCACAAGGCAAGCATAAATACAGACAGAAACGCAAATCAAGAAGCCAAATATTTGAGGAGGCAATAGTACAGACCGGAGTCATTCCATCCCCTTGGGCAACCCATTTGCAGTGATAAKGTACTGTCTTTTTAAACAGCCATGTCTCAAAGACTATTTCTTTATTTAACCCTTCCTTTACTCTCTATCACTTGCCAGGACATTATAAGCATCGACCCCCCGCTCTCCCTCCCAGTTGCCCAAGTCAGCAGAAATGAAAGCAGCATTTTACCACTCAAGATTTAGAGAACAAATTAACTGCACCACAAAGACAGATAGATGCGTGAAAGTCATTCTCTGAGAGGATTTTCCTAGTAATGTTAAATTAGAAACATTTAACCCCATGTCTATAAATATAAGAAGATAATTCATCCCTGCTGGCTGAGTAGCACGTTAACCCGCTCTCATTAGCTCTAACACAACACGTTTTTTCAGCTGTGACTGTCATTTTCTCCTGCACTGCAGCAGTTCGATTTAGCACTTCATTATGAAAGGAAAACTCTCATTAGAAAAGCATGTTATCGTGTTACCTTCTCATTCTCCCAGCTACAGAAACATCAGCGAGCAGAAGYGCTTTCCTCCCTCGGAGGTATCTTTCCCAGTGCTGAGAGCCAATAGTTAAGTGTTGGGAGCAGCAAACGTGCGTTTTCCAGTTGTTAGAAAGTTGGTCAGCTGATCAGTGACCTTGCTTGAAAAGCAAACACAAGTTTGAAACAAGAAGAACAAAAGATGGATTAATTTCCTAATGAACCAAGCACATACATCTCCTATGACCTTTTTGAAGACGGTTAAAATCTGCTCTGTAAAATCAGATACTTTTTATAGGGGCATATTTAGCTTTTTCATAAAACACCGAATGCTAAATCCCGCTTGGGCTATCACTGGACTGTCTTCCTTATCAGGAAAGATTATTTAAAAGATGGTCAATTATTAACAATACATTTCTTATTATACCTGACGTTGCAGATCTTCCCACCGAGCCGCAGTCGCTCACATGCTGCATGGTCGCTGGGCTGAATATATTACTGAGCCTCTTTCGCGCTTCTCCCAAGAAAATTAAGGCAGCTGCCACAATTAAAAGGCAGCACCTTTACTAGAAGACACAGAATGTCTCAGCATTAGTAATTAATTCTGTTTAAGCCCCATTCTTGCTGGGCTGGATGCCCACCCGACTCAGCCCCGTGGGAGCTGGAGCGGGAGCAGCCACTGGCGCCACTGCCGATCCCGTGCCCTTCCCAAGCAGCACAACCCAAACGCTCCCAGTGTTAGTGAGGAAAAAACACGGCTATTTGACCTCACTTTTGGTCTGCAAAGTGGCGCCGCTTACATTCTTTAAGGCTCAAAATGTAATTTTAGAAGATGCAGTTTCAAGAAAAACAGGCCAGTTTTGCCCCTGCAGGAAGTACGAGCCTGAGACTGCACAGAGGCGAAACAGGGCGCTCCGAGTCATGAGCACTCCCCACGTGAAGGATGTGTTAACTTTTCAGGAAACTAATGAAAAATGAAGTGCCCATTTCAGGAGCCTTTTAAAATTCCATCTCTTCCCATGTCGCTGTAAAATCACATACACCACACAGTGCTGTTACTTTCTGCTAACAACTTCCTACTTCAACAACCAGTTAATATGGTCGGGATTGAAAATGAGGTTGAAAAGGAGTGAATTTAAGAATATGTTGGCTTCTTTAATGTTTATTCCAAACACGTTTTGTCAAATTCTCCTCTTGCTCTTTGCTGCTGCTTACATTCTCCGTGCAAAGTAGCACAGTGGGAAAACATACATTAAGATACAGCAGAGATTTTAAAGAAAGCTCCAAAGATTCGCTTATTTTTTGCATTTCCYGATACAGCCCTCATGGTCTTCTGCATGTGCCCAAACCAGCTTTCCAGGAGGAACCACCAAGGACCGCTGCCCAAAAATGCAAACTCATCAGTTAGAGGATGGTGCTTCATTGAGCCACGACCTGTGGGTTTCCAACCACAAAGGACATGTGAGAAGGATGTCACCTGGGCAATGGTTGTGTCAGGTCCCGTGGCTCTCCCCAAGTGCAACACATCCCCATGGCCTCTCCATGCCCCGAGCCTGTCAAGGCTCAGGAAGAAAAGCAGGGGCAAAAGACTCAGATCACCTTCTAACAAGGTTGCAAGGCCGCAATGGGCTTCACTGAGCGGCAGCAGGGGCGGGAAGCTGCTCCGGAACTCACCAAAGCCTCTCCAAAAGGCAAGGCCTCAACTGCAGAAGAACAAAGGAGTGGCCAGGAAATACTCAACACACCCTGGGCAAGTTTCCTTGGCCAGGCTCCGGAATGTTCCCGGTGCCAATCCGTGTTCCTCTCCTGCCATGGATCCGTCACAGCCCTCCGCTCCCCTTGCTCTGTGCAACTGGATCGACACACAGAGCTGCRCTTCATCCTGACATCTGGGGGGCTCCAAGCGCTGGCATTCAAAGGGTTACACCAAAAACCTGCTCCATCCAGGCGGTCTGCTTGATTACACAATAACCAGCAGAGCTATTATTGCAAGTGGACATACCGAGAATAAATATAGCCTCTCGGGGAATATTTGTTATACAGATTTTTTCAATTCTGTTTGACTGCAAAGGAAGAAAAATAATGCATTTCCAATCTGCTGAGGACATCAGCAGCACGGGTGGGAAGGCTGCTGCACGGCGATGGGCTCTGAGTGTCTGCTCTTTGGCATAGGCCAAGAAAGGCATTTCCTCCCGGACCGAAAAAAAGAAGTTTGAAAACTTTGTGGGATTAAATAAATAAATAAAGTGGCTTAAAGCCATCCGTGTATTTGGAATAGAGAGCAAGCAGGGTTTATGAACTGGCAGGGCCTTTATGGTTTGCCCTGCRAGAAGCTGTCATTATTTGGAAGGGTTTAAAAAGTGAGAGAAAACAGGGTTTCCTGCAGCAGAGCTGTGCAGGCCGAGGCCCCATTGCTAACGCAGGAGCGGGGCAGCAATGTGCACAGCCGCTTGCAGCGGGACACTGGGCATTAGCACCAGGTCGGCACCCCATGGGATCACCTGGGAATGTGGATTTGGGCTGGTTTGGGCCGGGCACAGGACCTCAGTTGTGCTGCACTAGCCTGGATCCACCAAGAAGGCAGCAGGGTGATGCCACCGGGACAGGTTTGTGCTCTCTGATACACGCAGAGCAAATGGATGCAGAAAACCCACGGGAAGGAGCTGTGCATGGAGATGGGTGAGGGCAGCCCAAAGGGCAGGTTGCTGCTGACAGAACGCACCCAGAGACCACCAGTGACTTAGGCTTGTGTGTATAGCAACGCACGCCTGCTCTGCTCCTTGGGCTCGCAGTGAGACGTGGGTTCCTGAAGGGTGGTGGAAAAGGTGGTGGTCAAGAACTGCGTAGCTTGTGCACAGATGTCATGATCTGCTGCAACGCACAGGCATCAAAGTTGGGAGCTTTGGAGGGAAAGAAACCCAGGAGCAGGCTGAGGAAAGAGGAGCCAGAAGGGCAGAGGAGCCGGATGAAGGTCTGGAGCGAGCAGGGAGAGGGGTAAAGCAGTGGCCTTTTTGGAGGACTGCCTGCTGCTTTTAAATGCCTCAATATCCTGCCCAAGCAGTGCTGCCCTTGCAAAGTTTCTTTGRTTTCCCTTGTTAGAGGATACCCACCTTTAGCTGCCAGGCTGTTTAGCACTGAAGGGATTTTCTCTGTGCTTTACATGGAGAACAGTCGCATGGAGCTTTTGCACAGTGTTGCCTTACTGCACGTTTCGGAAGAGGCCAGGCACAGATCTGGGGATGCAGAGTTAGTCACCTTGCTGGAGGACAGGCTGTGGTGGATGGCACTGACTGCAGGTGTTTTAGATGCTAGAGAGTCTGTGCTCCCCACGTCTCAGACTCCCCACAAATCACCTCGGGAGTGACAAGGTGAAAACAAGGAGGGGGATCAGTAAGGAACAGGGATGCCAAACAGCACCGCATGCATTTGGGAAGAGAGGGTAATTGCAGAGCCTCGGCATTATGATACACTGCAAAAAGAGACGTGCAGAGACGTCTAAGTGCCCGGGGAGAGAGCGGGCACAGGCCTGCACGGCTGTGTGATGAATCCCGGGGCCATTCCTCTCCCCTGCTTCCAAGCAGGATGTGCAGTTGTGCTGCAGAGCTGCCTGTGCTGCCTCGCAGCTCCTCCTGGAGCCATCCCTAGGGATGCACGAGGGCAGTGGGGCTTGTGCTGGGCRTTATTTACCCATTAATAAAACTTGCAGATAATACTGAATTGGRGGTATAATTGCAAACACCAGAAAGCAGACTTTCGGATGGAATATGAGCCGTAGCTGACTAAGTCGGTGCAAAGTGACTTCAGTCTTGGTCAAGCGCACTGCAAGATTAGAAACATAAGGTAAAGAACAGCAAAATGAGAGTCAACTGGGAGAAATGTAAGCTGAGGAATACTAAACGGGCACTGAGCAGGAAGCAGGAATTTACTCTCAGGAAAAATGAGCGACTAGAGTTTCCCAGAGAAGCAGCTGAAGTATTTGGGAGACTGAAGAGAAGTGCTGCTGGGGAAAGACAAAAAGGTATGACTGAAAAGAAGGACATGAATCTTGAAACCACAGTGAATCTAAAGCGATGCAGAATCCAGACGCTTGCTGAAAATTCACCCTCTGCACAGGGGCCTGGTGCAGACATATGGCTCATGTGGACACGCAGCAGAGGAGCCATCCATGAGGACACGCTGCATCCCTGGAGCTTCCCGGAGTCGCCGCCCGCCTGGGGCTGTGCGGTGAAATKCCAGCGGATCGCTTTAATCTGGGAGCAGTCTGCTCTGTGATTGCTCCCAAGCTGGGGCTGCAGGCAGGGAGGAGGTTTGCTGTGTTCCCATTCTGGTGTCAGTAATCGGCAAAACTGCAGGGAAAAAAAAAAAGCAGCGGAGGCGGGTGCGGAGGGATGAGGTTGCAATAAGTCACTGCCAGGGTGTGCTTGTTAGATGAAAAACATCCTTCACCGGAGTAAAAGCTGGAGAATTTATACTGGAGTGGGGCAAAGTCAAGGAAGGGATGAAGTTTAAGGGTTCAACCCAGAGCAACAGTGGGCAGAGAGGAGAGTTTTAGACCTCCCGGCACTAAAACACACAGTCTGGCGGGTAACCTCGCTTAGAGGAGCAGCCGCCCGAGGGATGGATTTCACACAGCTCTTCAAACAGCACTAACAAAGTTAGGGAGATACCAATTTTGCTAAAATTGCTTATTGCTATTTAATAGAGTTAACTTCCTGCCAGGGTTTCCATTAAAGATGCACATGTGGAGACGAGGCATGGAGGTATCGAGTATCCGGCCCGCTGCGAGGGGGAAACAACTGTGTTCATCCCCTCATCCGATAACCCCCTTTCCAGCCGCCCTCTGATTCAGTCCAGTCATGGCCATGTAAAATCTGTGGTTAAACCTCATGGTTTTATCAGGCGCCTTGAGAACTGTGATGTTTTCCTTAAAGCTGCATTTCCTGGAGCCAGGAGACCATGGAAAGCACTTGAAACCATTAATCAAAAATCAGCAGGCAAACAAAAATCCTCAGTGCCTCATTTGTAATGCTCAATCTTATCCAATCCCTCTCCAAAGTTTGAGAGGAGCAACTGCAGCATGTGGGAATGCTGGTTTCTGGCCTTTCTCAGCTTCCTTTTTGCATCTTCTTGTCTTTGGGACTGGTCAAACTTCACTGCCACATTCTCAAACATATCTGGTTAAAGGAGCTGGTATTTCCTTGAAGATACAGAGTTTGTGCCCCGCATGGCTGCGGTTGAGGTGCCCTTGGTGTCTTTGCACAGAGGCGCAGCGCTGGAGAYGTCTCCATTCCTAAGGGAAGAGCAGAAGCCTTTGGGTGCTCTCCAAGACTGGTTGTGGAGGGAATCTGTGAGGTGAAGGTGCTCCTGCCTGGAGAAAAATGCTCTCCCGTTTCTCTGGGAAGATGCTGCACACGGTGGAGCCCTGCGCAGAGATCCCTTCTTCCCCTTACTCAAGCGGCAGCACATGGCAAGGGAGCTGCTCCACATGGGGCTGGATTGTCACCCCGCCACAACCCACATCCTGAGCAGAGCGTGTGAAAACATCTGGCCGAGCGCTCTCCCTTGGCTGCTCGCCACGTCRCAGTGAAGCCACCCAGACATTGGCGCGTCCAAAGCCACCAGGGGCTGCCCGAGCCTGCCCTGATCCCCACCAGTCCYTCTGGGGCAGGGCTGGGTGCTGCGGAGCCACGTGAGCAACGGGGGCAGCACCCAGACACGGGGCAGTCTCATGTGATTTCCTGCTCCTCAAACAAGACATTCATTTGTGGAACTGAAAACCACACAATGTGCATGCAAATCTCTCTCCCCAAACCCACTGCCCTGAGAAAGATGAGAAAACAGCCTGTTTCCATCCATGAAAGCAGCATCTGCAGCCTGCCTTGTTCAACCTTGGGCTGTAACCACCACAGGGCCCTCGCCTGCCACCAAAAACTTCCCCTCCGGCCTTAAGCTTTTCTGAATCTTCATCAAAACTTCCTTCCTCTAAAAGCTCCTTTCGCCTGGATGTCATTTGCTTTTGCGCTGCCCCAGGAGAAGGCATCACTCTTCTTGCTCCAAGAAAAATCACTTTTAAATTGGCCTAATTTTTGCCTCTACTTTTCTATTTCTCTACTGTCCACGCTGTTCAGTGCACAAATCCCTACACTTAAAACGAGAGGAGTCCTGCTCCCCACGAGGGGACATCAGGGTCCTATGCACTGCCAASGGCTCTGCAGTCCCTGCCCAAAATGGCCTTGCTGCAGTGCAGGTTTAATAACAGCACATTGAATATTCTGCTCCTCTCTCAGAGAGAAGAGGATGGAGCTGCTGTTTCCTTCCTCTTCCAGGACATCTTTCACATGACAGACACAATTTGGGCAGCTCTGAACCACGTGCGTGGTGGCCAGTAACGTTTCTCCAGGGAAACATCCCCCTCACGCGCATTAAAAAAGAAAGGAGGAGACTTCTACTATTTTATAAAGAAATGCATGTCCCTATTACTACTTATCAGTGTTCTGTTTCAGTTTTTATTTCCATTTCTAACCCTGATATGAACCGGGCAGGAGCAARTGATGTAATGGGCTGAAAACCCATGGGGTTGCGGGGCCGCGGCGAGGCCGTCACATGGGCCTTGTGTTTCCTAATGCACTGAGCCCGGCCCAAAAGCAGCACCAGGGCCCCGGCCCACGCGCAAACGCGCACAGATCCAGCTCAAAAACGGAGGCAACCAAGTCACTACTGTTGGCAGTACAAGGGACTGGAAATATAATTGCACTAAGGCCTAAAATAAATATGGATTAAAAGGAGTTATTTGCATCTGGCCTTTGCATTACTTTTTTTTTCCTTAACCCAGGCAGTGTGGGAATCTGTGCAGTTAGGGATTCCTGCCCCAAGTTAAAGACCGGTTAGCATGTATGAATCAGAGTTTAGAAATCATGCGATATTTACTGAACTATGTGTCTTGCTGGTCTGGAACAATGATGTGTCGTGCTCACCCTGCTGTCATATTATGCATCTAGTGGACAAAAACAACAACTTGGGCTATTTACTTTTTTAACAAAGGGGGCCAAGCTCATCTAGGTGCTATTTCAACAGCTTCCTTGAAAAGAACCAAGCTTTGATCCATAACCACTTGTGATAAAAATGCAACTTCCACAACATACGATGGCTCTAAAACTGCAGGGGGAGTTGAGGCTTGTTGATGAACTTATACCATTTGTTTTACRGAATCTCAAAAATGCTCTGGATTTAGGTGATATTTTGAGATTAAACCACTCCTGAAGCACAGCCATGTCAGGGGACAGCGGGCACTGTTTAATGGTGGCACCATCACTATGGCTTCCCACAAATGAAGGTCTAGGGGGTAATTAAATAAGATGAGGAACAAGGGAAGATGCAGGAGTACCAAGTTTAATAGCTTGTTTTGTAACAAGGGGAGAGCTCCTGTRATGGATGCCTGGAAGCAGGTGAAGGCACTAGGAACAAGCTGCTCCGGCTGGCCAGGGTGCTCAAGGGCTTTAGAAAGCCCTTCCCTCGGGATCCCAGGACAGCCACACCACACGGCTGGCACATGTGCCCTGCCAGCTCGGTTCCCATGGAGGGTGGCCCTGGCTTGTGGCTCCAACCCAACTTTCCCCAAGGCGGCAACGAGCCTCCCCTCACACTGACTCCCTCACACCCCAACCCAGCGTCAGCGGACTGGGAAGGACGGCAGGGATTTAAGTCACTAATTCTGTCTGCGGATATCTTGGAAAGTCTCACACTGGAGAAGGGCAAGGGCCACAGAGGCATGGACAAGGCAGCAGGGTTATCTCCCCGCCTCCTGCTTGGCTTCAGAACTACATTAACAAATCTGCTAACTGGTGTTTTTTCAAATGTTTTTTCACATTTGTTTGCTGACTAATCTCTCTGTTTGTCCTTTCATCAGAATATTTTTCTTGAAACCTTACTATGAAAGCAAGTAATTATCACTCATAGATCATAACCTCAGATTTATCTCCTCTGAGATATCACTTGGAGTTCCTGTTTAAGGTATCCTACCTTTTCATTAAGTTTATCCCTAACTGAATGCAGAGCACAGGGAAGATGGCCAAGCAGGAATAACAGCAAATACTGAACTGTTTTTTMTTAGTCTTTTCTCTGCCCTTCAGTGTGGTGGCTCTCCTCGGAGAGCAGATGTCTCATATTCAGGTACTTATCACTTTCATTTGGACCCCACATATGTACAATATTTAATCACTCTTTGAGTGCCCAGGTAAAGGAAAGGCTTCCCTCGAGTTCCACGTGCCCGGCCCAGCGGTGCTGGCATGGAAGCRGTGCCAGGACATGGCAGCGGAGCCTGGGCAAAGAAAGGCGACAAGGAGCCCGGCCGCCACCCGCGCTGGAAATTGAAGGAAAAAAAATAAAAGCTCCAAGAGTTTCTCTCCCCCGAAAAGTTTGTGAGGAAGCCGGGGGAGGTGGATGCAAGC